TGTGTCGAGGTAGAATACCGCACAGTCGTTAGAGTGATGTGTCACGTGTAGCATCGTCTTCTCTCTGTTTTTGCTGTCGGGGTGAGTGTTCTTCCCGTGTTTTAATTTATATTCTTGGGGATCTTACACGTTTAATTTATTACTATGTTGATTAGTGTTGGTAAGGGAGTCACTGCTCTGCTTCCTTCCTGACGATGGTCACCGTTAGGGAGACACTCCGACGGCCGGACGTTCGAATAGGGAGGAGAATGATATTTAATTCATTTGCGGATTGTATGTATACGAGTTTTATAATTTTCTGATTGTACCGATTATCTTTTATTTTTTTTTTGTTTCTTTGTATTTTGCAGCTACTGAAGAAGACCCGAAGTGGGTCGAAACGTTTAGAATTTAATAAATGAGTTTGACTTGAGATCTCATTTTAATTTATTAATTTTGTGCATGTCATCCGCACAGGCTCCGATTGCCGTCGAGATTTTATTTTTATTGTAACACAATAATTTGAGCCGAGATTAACAGTTTGTTTTATATTAAAAAATATAACGACAATCTCAACGTAAAGGTGAGAGAACGATTATCTTCAATTATATATTTGTTTCTTTAATCTTTAATAAATGTTTAAATATAAAAAGAGATGAAAAACTAATTATTACGTGTTAAGAAAAATAAGTGGTTATTGAAGTAAATTTAATTAAGATGTGATACCTTGAATTCTAAACTGATTCCTTAAAACTTGATCACTATAAAATACCGATGTAACACTTTATGTGACACTAAAGATAAAAATTTTTTTCACAAATATATTTTTTAGTGCGTACAAAAATATTTAAAGCGCTTCGGCGGACATGTCAAAATCTCGATGTGACGTCAAGTATCGATATATCGATGCATCGATATATCGCGCATGCGTGCAGAATGACAGAATTTTGACATTTAAAAATGGCGGATTAGACTCGCGGAAAGTTAAGAAGGTTAGAATAAGGGAAACAAAATATTATAAATATAAATTTACAACGCAAAAAAAAAATGGGACAATTGTGCAAATCGACGAAAATTACATTTTGCAAACTTATGCAAAATTATGTTACACATTATGGCTGAGAGGAATAAAAAGCGATACGAAAAGTTACACCAAAACCGTGCTTTTGCCGCAAACTAATTTTCCGGCACGATTGGGCGGCAAAAAAAGAGTGGAGATGGATAGCTATTTAATAGAAGTGAGTTTGTTGCCTTTGCATGTTAATTTTCCAAAATTAAAAAAATTTTTTTAATTTTTTCAAAATATTTTTCCTTAAGTTTAAAATATTTGTTTTTCTCGAAGGAAATAAAACGTAAAAATCAGTTGCAATCTTATATATAATATTATACATGTATAAATAAATAATATTATATGTGTAAATAATATTATATATAATAGCTTAATAAGGACTCGATAATCTACAAATAAATATAAACTTAATTATCTGTAGTCTGTAGTCAATTAATGTATACAAATTAATAATAACACATACATATGTTATAAGAATTTATATATATATATATTTTTTTAATTGCAGAAATGTGGTTTCTTGGAATTATACAATTGGCAGAGAAAGAATCTTAAAGGGCCAGATTTTGTCTTGCATGATGGTCCACCTTACGCTAATGGAGAGCCACACATGGGTCATGCAATTAACAAGGTCTAACAAAAGCTTCACAAAAATGCAACAACCTTTCTTATTGAAATTTAGAATAAGTTGTTATTATTTGCTTAGGTCCTTAAGGATATTACACTGCGAAATAAAATTCTAACAGGTAAAAGAGTGCATTACATCCCAGGTTGGGATTGTCATGGTCTGCCAATTGAACAAAAAGTACTTAGTAATAATATAAAGGATACCAATCCATTAGAAATTCGGCGAAAAGGTATTATATTCCTTTTCTAAAATTTCTATTATTTAGATCTTATTTATCTATTATTAAAATTTATGTACTTCAATAATGTCGTAGCTAGGAAATACGCCAGCGATGCCATAGCAAAGCAAAGAGAAACTTTTATATCATGGGGCATCGTGGCTGACTGGAACGAATCGGGATGTTATTTCACAAATCATGCTTCGTATATAAAAAATCAGCTGAGACAATTTATAAATTTGTATGACAAAGGACTTGTGTTCAGAGCCTTTAAACCTGTGCACTGGTCACCGTCCTCCAGGTACTTGGTCAGATCAAATCTAAAAAAATGTTTCTAATTCTTAATATTAATATTAAATATTTAGCCCTTTAATTTTATTTTGTATTTATTTTATAAATATTAAATATTTAATATTTTAAATGTTAAATATTTAATATTTAATATTTTATAAATATTTATAAAAATTATACTTAATATTAAATAGTTATAAAAATTTTTTCTTGATATAATCGTAGAACAGCATTGGCAGAGTCAGAGCTGGAATATAATGAGTCTCACAAGAGCAAAAGTGTTATTATTCGTATGCAACTTGATGCATCTATATTACCCTCAAAATTGAGAAGCTTAGAGAATAAACCTCTTTACGCCCTAATCTGGACTACAACACCTTGGTCATTGATAGCTAATCAAGCTATAGCTTTCTCAGATAATATTGTATATTGTATTGTGGAAGACAATTCGAAAAATTTATATATTCTTGCTCAAGAATGCTTGACTAGTGTCGAGCAGAACCTTGGTCCATTAAGATTAATTACAACCATCACAGGTAAGACTCATTTTCTTGCTCTTATAGTGTTTCATGTTCTTAAATATTTTATATAACTGAAAACTAATTTCCTTATAGGACAAGAATTGAGTGAAAGTAAATATTTCCATCCTATTACCAAGAAACGTTTACCATTCTTGCCTGGGCAACACGTAACAACCAATGTCGGTACTGGATTAGTTCATACAGCTCCTGCACATGGTCCAGAGGATTTCCTTATTGCAGTTGAAAATAATATACCAGTAGTAAGTCAATTTCTCTTCTCAAGTAATAAACTGACGTCAGAATGACGTCTAGTAACATCATTTTGATGTTTAATGACGTCAATTTGCTACCTGAGTTGTGTCGAATGATATTAGACGTCAAGATAATGTCATTTTGATGTTTAATTACGTCAATTGGGACTTGGGAAACCTTCTATTGGATTTAATGGCATCAATGTTACAGTTATCCTTGATAGATGTCGATGGATGTTTCATGGGAGAAGCTGGTGACGAATTCGCCGGTTTAGACGTCTTGACCGATGGCGCTGATAAGATTTTACATCACATCGGTGAGGATGTGTTGCACATTGATACAATTACACACAGCTATCCATATGACTGGCGAACCAAAAAACCTATCATCATCCGTGTGAGTCACCAATGGTTCATAGACATAAATTCTATCAAAGAAAAGGCAATTGTAAGTCTATTGAGATTTTCTGAAAGAGATGCACTATCACACATTCGTCACTTATGTGTTTGTATTTTATTTTTAACGCAAGGACAGCATTGCGAATATAAAAATATATCCGGAGCAAAATCACACGTCATACTCGAATGCACTACTTGCTCAAGTTAAACAACGACCGTATTGGTGCATTTCCCGGCAACGATCCTGGGGAACGCCGATACCGATTTTGTATAATAAACGAACCGATGACGTATACACAAGCAGGTAACTCTATACCCAGTTAGCAAGCATATGTCATTTTGACGTCGAATGACGTCATTTTCACATTTAATAACGTCAGTTTGCTACTTATACTATAATAATTAAGTTTCACTTTTTAAGATTCGAATAATAATTATCAACAAGATTCTGTTTATAATATTTGCGAATAGTGATTCAATCTAGAGAATATCCAAGTAGCAAACTGACGTCATTAAATATCAAAGTGACGTCATTTTGACATCTAATAACGTCAGTTTGCTATTTGGATGATTAATAAATGTACAAAAATAGAAAAAATCGCGTATTAATCCTATATATAAAATTGGATCCCGATAAAATCAACTAGTTGTAGCTGATGACTTACTGAAAAGATGTTAATAGGCTCAAAGCTAAATAATAATAAACGATTACTTCCAGTCACACATGAAAAATTCGGTCTCTAAATAGTACTCGACTGGCTGTAAGTCAGTAACTAGCCACTATTCAACTTTCAGTCCATTACATCTTTTGTTCAGTAGGTCATCAGCTACAACATATGAGAAAACCACCCAAGGAGCAAGCGTACGTCATTTTGACTTCGAATGACGTCATAGACATCAAAATGTCATATTAACGTTTGATGACGTCAACTTGCTACTTGGCCAGTTGGTTTAACCGGAAGACAAGGTCATATGGGATTAACATAGGGTTTCCTTTCACTTATCATTGTTCTTGTTGCAGAAAATGGGTCGAAAGGTTGTGCAAATTGACGGAACGCTACGGTCCTGATTATTGGTGGGAACTGTCGACCGAGAAATTAATCGGTCGCGAGCTACGGCAAGAATTGAACGATATAGATGACCTGGAGAAAGGAACGGTAGGTGCAACCGAGGATCTCTCTCGATTCAAAGTCTCCCATCAATATCTGCAAAGTACATGATTACATTTCTTCAAAGGATATCATGGACATTTGGTTGGACAGCGGTCTTTCGTGGTCGGCCGTTTTGCCGGAATGCAAAGCGGATTTGTATTTGGAAGGAATGGATCAGTTTCGCGGTTGGTTTCAGTCGTCATTACTAACGTCCGTCGCTCTTCAGGAACGTTCTCCCTACAGGTAGTTTATACAGAATGTCGCAATTTTAATCAACCACCCCCAGAAACTGTTTATTTTCGATTGTATAACAAAATGTTTCAAACGAAAGTTGTTTTATGGAGGACAGAAGATGACGCTACTGACTTTTTCTACAGAGCACTTTTCAAGGTCATTTATGGTTTTTTTAACTATTTATTTATATAAATCGATTTCTTGCAATTTTTAGCATAAAAACTTATAAGAGTAATTTTTTATGTCAAAAATTACGAGGAATTGATTTATATAAAAAAATTACAGTAGTTCTACATGTATTTTAATAAAATAATGACCTTTAAATGATCTTAAAGAGTGTTCTACAGAAAAAAGTAAATAATGTCATCTGTCCCCTTTTAAATCAAATCACTTCTGTTCGAAATATTTTGTTGTACAAAATCAAAAATAAAAGTTTGGAAGTGATCGATTAAAAAGACAAGTATTTATCTATATTATTTCAAAGTGCTCTGTTCGTGCACGGATTTGCGGTGGACGATAAAGCTTCGAAAATGTCGAAATCGGTTGGAAACGTGGTGAACCCTGAAATAATCATTAAAGGTGGAGAAAACTTGAATAAGAACCCAGCGTATGGCGTCGACACTTTAAGGTTAGCTACTTTTTTCGTAAAATATATGCGTGAAGTTTAAAATATTATAAAAATATTGGGTTGTTCAAAAAGTCATTGCGTTTTTTTCCAATAGATAGCGCTGTCCACATCTATTTGTATCTGAGCGTGCCATGAATGTCAAATGTTTATGCACATTTTGTTGTTGACACTTAACCTAAAAACCAAAAAAAAAGTTGACGCAATTTAGTCGAGTTTTGTGCTTGCAATTGTATTGTAGTTTAAACATGGAGAATTTTGAAGAGCATATTCGCCATATTTTGCTTTATTACTTTAAAAAAGGGAAGAAAGCAACTGAAGCAAGGGAAGAGTTGCGTCAAGTTTACGGCAGAAATGTCATTGAAAAACGTCAGTGCCAGAACTGGTTCGCCCGATTCCGTGGTGGTGATTTTTCGGTTAAAGACGCTCATCGCTCCGGTAGGCCTTCCGAGATTGACGACGATAAAATCAAGGCATTGGTGCAAGCAAATAAGCATTCAACGGTTCGGGAGCTTGCTACCGCTCTAAAAGTGTCCATTGGAAGTGTTCATGGACATTTGAAATCGCTTGGTTTCGTGAAGAAGCTCGATATTTGGGTACCGCATGAGTTGAAAGAAATTCATCTGACAAAGCGTATGAACGTCTGCGATCAACTCACCAAACGCGAAGAAAACGATCCGTTCTTGAAGCGTATGATCACGGGCGACGAAAAATGGATTGTCTACAACAATGTGAGCCGAAAAAGGAGTAGGAGTAAGCGAGATGAAGCACCGGAAAGGCAAGCAAAGGCGGACATCCACCAAAAGAAGGTGATGCTGTTAATCTGGTGGGATTGGAAGGGACCAGTCTTCTATGAGCTGCTTCCACAGAATAAAACGATCAATTCCGATGTCTACTGTGAGCAGCTACAGAAATTAAGTGATGCCATCGCACAGAAACGTCCCGAGCTGATCAATCGTAAGGGTGTGGTGTTTCACCACGACAATGCGAGACCACACACAAGTTTGGTCACTCGGCAAAAATTATTGCAGCTTGGTTGGGATGTGTTGCCACATCCACCATATAGCCCAGACCTTGCGCCATCAGACTTCCATCTATTTCGCTCCTTGCAAAACTCCTTGAACGGTAAAACGTTTGCTTCTGAAGACCTCATCAAACAGCACCTTGACAAGTTTCTCGCAGAGAAAGATAGGAAGTTTTATGAACGCGGTATTATGAAATTGCCCGAGAGATGGCAAAAGGTCATTGAACAAAACGGCCAATATATTATTGATTAATGTTCATTACGTATATTAAATAAACGCACCTGAAAATCAAATGAAAAAAACGCAATAACTTTTTGAACAACCCAATATATATAATAATAAATATAATATTATAAATCATAAGATTAAAATATTATAAAATATTATAAAATATTAAAAATAAAAAATAAATTGACAGATGGTGGGTGGCCAGCCACGGATGTCAGCACAGTCAAGTTCCAGTCACGACGACGTTGTTGCGCGAGAGTCACGAATCTATACAAAAGCTACGGTTAGTTCTACGCTTCCTCTTAGGCGCTCTACATCCCTCCAGCGAGGGAATCACGGTGGAACCGGAATACCTTCACCTCGACAAGTACATGTTGCACGCTCTGCATCAGTATAACAAAGAGGTAATCACAAGAGAGATAGATACTTGAAAAAAATTATAATGTACAGGGTGTCCCATAGGAAATTGTTGAAACTAATCGCCTATCATTTTGTAATGCATGCAATTATCGAGAAAACAGAAAGTTGTGTTGAAAAGTTTGCAGTTTAATGGATATAAATAAAATGTTTGTATACCAGTTTATTTTATTGAAAAAAGTAATGGAAAAAGTACTAATAATAAATATTTTCGACGTGCGCACCATTTAAATTTGTACAAAATTTTGTTCTTTTACGAAAACTCGTAAAAATTTTTTCTAATATGTCTTTTTAATGTTATTGACGATCCTTTTAATGGCTGCTATTAAATCCTGGCACTAAAAATATTTATCATTAGTTTATGTAATTTTATGTGATTATTAGCACTTTTTAATTCCTTTTTATCAATAAGCTGAACTAGTGTACAAACATTTTATTTATACCCACTAAAAACTGCAGATTTTTTTCCTCATTCCAACACAATTTTTGTTTTCTCCATAACTGCATACATTAAAAAATGACACCCTATATACCTGGTAATGATGTATCATTTTGCAGATTCAAAACTTGTACGACAACTACTTGTATCATCACGTGTGCAAGCTGGTGATGAGCTTCCTGACGAATACCGTGTCGCCGGTATACTGTCACTTGATCAAGGACAGACTTTATTGCGACGAGGTAGGATCCCCGACGCGGCTGGCTGTGATGGAAGTAACTTGCGAGACCTTGACCGTACTCGTGAGATCCATCGCGCCGATCGTTCCGCATTTGGCGGAGGAAGTGTGGCTCTATCAACCTGAAAACTTATGTAAGCGAGCGTTGAGCGAGAATTTTCCTAACTTTCAAAATCTTTATCATTCACAATTTTATCATTCGCGCAGCATCGGTGCCGTTGTATCATGCTGAATATAAAGTGCCGGAAACTTGGCATCAACCGGAACTCGCTAGGCACGTAGAGAGGGCGTTAAGCTTGAGAAGCAAGGTCAACACCCTGGCTGATCGTAACACGTGGGAATTGTCGGGCACCCTGACAGCTACGACGAACGACTATGAATGCCTTTCGGCAAGTTGCTTTATTTCTCTTTGCGAAGAAGCTCGCACTAATTCTACATGAAAGTAAATCCCGATAAAATCAGCTGGTTTTATAGCTTTTAAGTCTATTCTTTTTAGCTGAATTGGCTGCACTAGTTCACAGTTTATCTCTTTCCTTTCAATGTGGAATAAAAAAGATAAACCCTGAACTAGTGCAGCCAGTTCAACTGAAAAAAACAGATCTAATGATTTACTGAACAAAAGATATATAATAAACTCAAAGCTAAATAATGGTCAGTTACTGACCTATTCTAGTCAGTCAAACAATGCAGAACTTGGGGTTTTCGTGTTTGACTAGCTGTAAATCAATAATTATTCATTATTCAATTTTGAACATTTACATTTTTGTTCAGGAAGTCATAAGCTACAATATGACAGAAACTCTGCTAATTTTAGGATCCACCTTCATATAGGAGAAATGCGGAATATTTTTCTTGTAATTAGTTCTTAATCCTGATGATAAAAATAATTAGTATAAATTTCCTATCTATTCACAGATACTTCAGAAAGACGGAGAATCCTCCACGTCGGAATTGTGCGACATCTTACAACTCTCGTCAATTACGTTGTTGGAATCGCCTATGGCGAACGAAACGCAGATCGAATTACATAATACGGAGAAAATGCTCTGCCAAAGGTGTAGGAGGCATCCTGAATTGGATAAAAGCGGCCTCTGCAACCGCTGTGTTAAAGTACTCGACCTGACGAATGTGTCATCGGTATCAGTGTAAGCGCAATACAACCAGGTAGCAAGCGTACGTCATTTTGGCATCAAATGACGTCATCTTGACGTCACATGCCATCAAACGACGTCATCTTGACGTTAAATGCCATCAAACAACATCATCTTGACGTCAAATTACATCATAAACGTCAAAGTGACGTCAAATGACATCATAAACGTCAAGTGACGTTAAATAACATCATAGACGTCAAAATTACGTCATTTTGATCCTTAATGACGTCAGTTTGCTACTTGAAAGAGTTATACATATATATTTCTTATAACAAACTATCCGATTCTTTTGCTATAAGTAAATAAATAAAAATACATAAACGAGAACACATTTTGAAAATTAAATTATTTTTAATAGATCGAAATGATTTACATACATATGATTACCTATATCTTTTTACACTTGTCGAAACTGTGGAAGAAGACACGAATTAGAACGGAACTTTTTTTTTACTGCACTATTGTTGCTTCGTCGTCAGGTAGTACAGATGATTTATATTCAAAGCGTTGAGGAAATGCGTCAGGTGCGGCTGATATCCGCTGGTGGCCAATTTGTGCGCGACATGAGCCATGTATGTCCGCCATTCGCAGAAGGACCGGTACATCTGCTCCAGACTTTTGAAATTCGGATGGCTGTATCGACCAGGATTGTCACCGTCGACCGTCCAGGCCTGCGACCTCAAGCGATTATGAAACTTCAGGATAATCTTGAAGATGTTGATCAAGCACACGCGCATCTTTTCACCGCGCGTGTTGAGCATACATCTAAAAATTGATACGTTGCGCGTGAATATCTTCAGTCTTTCAATCTTAGATTGTGACGTCAGAAGCGAAAAAGCCATTGAATCTAAAACAGTGTTTCATTGAGATATCTTTTCACTTAAAAATGACATCCAAGAATTTTCAGTCTGCATTTTCTCGCCTCTGACGTCACAATTCCAACATGGTCGGTGAAAAACCAGGAAAATAATAACCTCGAAAGGATCCTCTTAATATAGCTCATGTGCGAGAGATGAATCTGATCTATCGTCCGGGAATTCTGCAAATCCTTTTCGAACTCGCTCCAGCTTGCGTGCAACACGCTGCACGTTAAATAATTGTGAAGAGCATTCGTGAATTGGGTCATGGAGTGTCTGTATAACTGTAGCTGTGGACACAAAACGAACGGAAAAATTATAAGAAAATTATTTCGTAATATTTCTTTCATATCTAGTAGTAATTAAGACTCCTGGGTCCTCGCTGCGGTCATGTTAAATTGTGACGAGGCGAGAAACTAAATACGCTAAAAATTCTTAGATGCTATTTCGAAATAAAAAGATATTTCTATGTAACAACACTTCAAAGACTTTAGCTACCTTAAGTAGTGTTTCACTGACATATTCTTTCATTTAAGAGTGACATCTCAGAATGTTTAGCGTGTGACGTCACAATCTAACATGGCTGCAGCGAGGACCCAGGAACCCTAATTAATTGACTTACCTTGTGATATTGCTCCGAATTAATCGCGTTATGCTCTACCTTCATTATGTTAAAGTCCTCTTGCAGCACCCACGACATTCTGCCGGTCATTATTAGGAATTTGAACACCTTGCTATATTGCAGCATCATCGTATCATCCAAGATAATATTTAACGGCCATGCTATTTTATAGTTTAGGCAAAGACATTCCAAAACATTTGGATCAGAAATCTGCAATAACAAATTTTTTTTATTATTAAGGGTCCTCGTGTCATTTTGACGTTTAATGGCGTCAGTTTGCTACTTCAGATACAATAATTAAGTTTTATTTTCTAGGATTCGAATAATAGTTATTAACAAGATTTTATTTATCATATTTGCGAATAATAATCCAATCTAGAATAATCAAGTAACAAATTGACGTTATTAAGTATCAAAATGACGTCATTTTGACGTTGAATGACGTCAGTTTGCTACTTGAGCCGGGCAAGTTATCATGACAGAGTATCTACTTCCTGGAAAATATCTAGAAAATTAGAGAATTCTTTTTCCAAAAAATTTGAGTACAAACATCCTGTCAACAACAATAAAAATCTCCCTAAGTCTTCTACACTTACATACAACTGGCAGGGCTGATCGATGGCGGAGAGACTCAAGAGTTCGGAATTGGCGTAATTATTATTGAACGAGTTCATCAGCGCCTTCTTCAAGAGATTCGCCAGGGTCGCGGAATTGAAGAGTTCGATCGGAGCGGATATCGCGTAAAGGCGAGAATAAAGCGAGTTGGTCAGACTCTTAGCGAATTCGCCGTTCAGCAGGAAGAAGTAACTGCGTAGGCTGCGCAGGTGCGAGAGCATGTTGCACTCGTTCACCAGGTGCTTGATGATCGCATCGTTCACCAGCCGGGTCTGTATCTGCAGGGGGATGATGACGGACTTCTCCAGGTATACCTGGAGCGAGGTGTGATCGATCATCTCGACGTCAGCTATAGTCAGGAACGACGGCGACGACGATTTCCCCAGGTTCGGGTTCTCGGACCCGAGGTCGACGACCCCGAAGAGATTCGGCAGCTTGAAGTGGCCGTTCATCGGGGACTCGAAGCAGGTCACCTCCGTCATGATGGACTTCGTCATGTCGGACGGAGACGACTCCTGACCGCCGTTCAGAACGAATATGTCGTCGCTGTTCGGTATCTGCGACAACGGGGTGTGGGTCGACAACGTGGTGAAGTTGTCAGTCGTGCAGGACATCGGGGTATCCATATTATTATTATTATTTTGCACACTGTTCAATATCGAAGCGTCGTCGAGCCTATTTGAACACTCTTCGTCATCCGTAGGCCTAATTAATGCGTTCGTCACCTCTTTCTCGGGCAATTTGACATCCGGAGTGAAAGAAACGTTGTTGTTCGCACCTTGTTCATTATTGCCGTTCGTGTTCGCGCGATTAATCCTACTGAGCTCGTTGTTGTTAGAAGTATTCATCCCGTATTCCAGCAACAGTACCTTCAGCTTGTTGGTCTGCGCCGTGGTTTCCTGCGTATCGCTCCGTTCTTCATCTACATTCGCGCAATTAATTACGTTTCCTCGTTTATTCGAGAGGATCTCGCTGAGCTCGTTGTTGTTAGGAGTCATGCCGTATTCCTGCAGCAGGACCTTCAGCTTGTTGGTTTGAGCCACGGTCATCTTGTCTATCTTTTCGATGGCCAGGGATCTAGGCCTGTTAATAGTACCGACCAGTTTCTCGGTGATCTCCTCGTTCTCCAGGATGTTGTCTATTCGAGTCTCAACCGCAGCCGCCGTCTGTTCGTTGTCGTTCATAATCGTGCGGATGTTCTTCATCGCTTCGTCGCGCAGGAAATCTTGCAGGTTGCTCCTCTCGTTATTCCTCTTGTAGATGTAATTCATCGGTAAAGAATCCTTACTTGTCGTAATTTTCTCGTCCGAGGCAGCAACTTCGGAGTTTACACCTTTGGCGACTGATAGACTCTCTTCAGCATTATTAGAAGTGTCGTCTGTCGTCGCTAACTGATTCACTACCTCGTTCTCGGGGAAGTTACTGTTCTCATCTCGACTGGACGCGACTACCTCCGCTTCGGATGTGGAAATTGTGTCCTGTGTGCTGGGTGAGATGGGGATGTCTTCATTTTGTTCGTCGGTGTTGGTTGCATTTTCACTTGGTGGCACTTCTCCGTCGAGTTTCTTTATAGATTTCAAGTGTTCCACGCGTCTTTCGAAGTGACTCATTCTCGTCTTACGCCAGTTTGATCGCACGCGATCGCTCTCTAAATCGGTGGTTAATTTGTCGTAGTAATTTAGAAGATGTTCTCTGAAATATGATGAGAAAAACGAACAATGCGATTAGTATGTTGCAATTATTTTTTAGAATTTAAACTTATATACATATGCAAGACGAAGTAATAACTTTTCTGTCCATCTTGAATTTTTCACTATTTTTAGATAATTTTTTTGAACTTTTTTATTATTTTTAAATAATTATCTTACATAAATCGATTCCTTGTAATGTTTAGCATAAAAAATTACCTGAAATTTTTCACTATTTTTAGATAACTATCCGAAATTTTTTATTATTTTTAAACAATGTTCTTATATAAACTGATTCCTTTTAATACTTAACATAAAAAATTATCTGGAATTTTTCACTATTTTTAGATAACTTTCCGAAATTTTTCATTATTTTTAAATAATTTTCTTACATAAATTGATTCCTTATTGTAATATTTAGCATAAAAAATTATCTGGAATTTTTCACTATTTTTAGATAATTTTTTCCGGAATTTTTCATTATTCTTAAATAATTTTCTTACATAAACTGATTCCTTTTAATACTTAACATAAAAAATTAGAGTTGAATTGTCAAAAAATGAATGGTTCACAATCACGTTGGAATTGTGACATCATGACGTCATTTTGATGTTTAATGACATCAGTTTATTACTTGGGTAGTTTTTGAGGTATTTTAAAATGCGCTAAACCTATCTAAAGTAATGTTTCATCGAAATATTCTTTCAGTTAAAAGTGGTATATAAAAATTTTCAGCGTGTATTTTCTCGCCTCTGACGTCACAATCTAACACGGACCCAGAAGCTTTAAATGACCTTAAAATCTCATGAGTCTCCATTTACAGAAAAATAATTACTAGCGTATTATGGCTCTCTTAATACAGTACAACTTTTATAATTACAATATTTTCATAAAAATAGTGGAGATATTCCAGATGGACAAAGGTTCTATATATGATTTTTCCAATCATTTTTATTCAAGATTTGCTGATCTTTTTACCGCTCGGCCTTTTGTTGTTCTCCTATCTCTTCCTGCTCTCGCTCAAATTTCTCGAGTAACAATTTATCAGCTAGCATCTCGATCTCCTTTTTCTTCTCCTTAAACAAAGCACTTTCTTCCGCCTGGTGTTTCAATTCTAGCAACAATTCTCGTTTACTTTGCGCCGCCTTTGCGATAAGTTCTTTGCGTTCCGCTAAAGATAAAATTGCGAAAAAATTGTCAAATACAGTGTTTGCTGTTATCTAAATAAAATTATATAGACGATCATCTGGATGAAACTTTGGCATCATCTTATGTTTATATAGATAATAAAAATATATCTATGTCAGATGAAAAAAGTATTATCTTTACTAAATTATGTAGATTTTTCAGATAATTTTGATTTAAAATCATAGCACATAAAACTACTTAAATAGTCGAACTTAAGCAGTAAACGATAAAAATTTATAATTAAAAATATGAATACATATATTTTTATATCCCTTTTATAATTTACAGTTTTTTTAATAACTATGTTTACATAAACAGTCCTAAAAATTATTATCTAGAAATTATCTAGATGAATCGCCATATAATTTTATCTTTTATCTAGATATATTTCAAACAAAATCATCTTCATCTAATCTAAGATAAATTTACATATTTTTATCTCATCTTTATCTAGGTAATTCTAAAATCATCTAAGCGTGATAAAAAAAATATAAATAAAAATAAATAAAAATATATTATATCCCTTTTACTATAATTTACATTTTTTTATAATTATTTACATAAGGGATACTCAAAATAATAATATTATCTGGAAATTATGTAGATAAATTGCCATATAATTTATCTTTTACATATATATGTATATAATTATATATAATTTTTACATCTTTTATATCTAGATATATTTAAAACAAAATCATGTTCCTCTAATCTAAGATGAATTTACATATTTTTCTCATCTATTTTTTATCTAGCTAATTTTTAAATCATGTAACAATAAGTATACCACTGGTCAAATATATATATATATATCTTGAAGCTAGTATAGAAGCTAAAAATTGAGCTAAAAAAATATTACCGTTCAGTCTCGACAACGTTGCCTGCTGCGCGCGTATCACCAGCTCAGCCGTCTCCCTCTCGGCCCTCTTCTCATCCCGAATCGCGGATAAAAGGGAGACGATCGGTCCTAAGGCCGCTTCACCCTCGCGCTGATACTCCTGACACCTTAGCAGCTGCTCTCGCAACATGGACACGCTCAGGCAGACCTTCACTTCCGGTGGAGCGTTGAAGGACACACTGCATACAGGATTCTGAAATGAAATATTAATATTGAAAAATCTTCTTTTTATTCTTTTTACTTATATTTTTTATTAATTATATATTTTCACGGTGAAAAAAATAATATAATATAAACTATAACGAAGACTGACATGGGCGTCTGCAGAGAATCAGTGAAAAAATTAAATATTTGCTCTTCTGAATAAACACTGAAATTTATTTGTATATTTCATATATAAAAAAATAAAAATAAATTATTACAAATTTAAAAAAAGAAAAAAAATGTAATTATGCCTCTTCCTGGAAAAAATCCTGCGGACGCCTATAAAGACTCACCTTCGGGTTGCAAATTTTCAAAAGTCGCAGCGTCTTCCCGCATTGCAATATCGACTCCGATAATTCGGATAAGAACCCGGGCACCGATTCCGGGTCGATCGCGAAGCTATCGGTCCAGAATTTACGTCCTCTCTTTCGCAGATTGTGAGACCGAGCTTGGATCATAAATTCCCCGTAAACGTCGTCGCACGTCCCTTCGAACAGCCAATTTTGCAGCAACCTGGAATAAAATTCCAACAAAATAATAATAAATATTATTAAATATTCATATATTTTAGAGTTAAATATTAAATAATAAAAAGGAATATATTTTTTCATGTAGAATATAAAACCAGATGTTCAATAATTTTTCAATACTTATAATAATTGTATTAAAACAAAATGAATACAAGTAACATGAGAAATAAAATAAAAAATTCCATTGAATTCCATTAAATTTCCATCTTTACCGAAAATAGACCTCGCAGCAGGACTTCAATGTGGAATAAAACACCAAAGCGACCTTGGGATTGGTGACCTTGGTCACCTCTTTGTAAATGTGCGTTAGAATTCCGCTGCCTAAGGTACACTGACTGTGGTTGCAGCAGCGATCGCACAGTCTTGCGACTTCGACGATTAAATGAGCCAGAGGACGAACCCTTTTCAACAGACTCAACAATCCGTCAAATTCGTCTCGGTTGAGAATTCGTTGCAACGCCGAACGATAATACAGGAGCAGCTCCTTCACATTAGCACACATTGCCTGCACCAATTATTGTATATTTAGAATAACATATTTGATTATGTGCTATATTACTTTATAAACAATAAATTACAAACTGTTTTAAATTTAAAATGAAAAAATATTTAATATAATAAATTAATAATTTAATATATTTTATATATTAAATATATTAAATTAATAATTAGTAATAAATTAACTTCTTCTGACACAATAATCAATATTATTTACCTAAAATAAAAACTATGGAATTCAGATTTTTCAGTTAAAAATTCATAAAATATCAGACAGTTGTAACCTTCCAAAAAAATGTTAGCCCTAAGTTTTAAATAAACTAACTATTAAATTAGTTGCTAATTACAAAAAAAATGTAACTAAGTTGAGTTACAGTTATAAATGCAGAAAAAGGAACGAAGTTAAGTTATAGTTCTTTTCAACTCTGCTTATACGTAATGTAGAAAAGTTATGTACTTTGAATATAAGACCATCCTGTTGTAATTTTCCCGTTTGTGGATCAGGCATGACGAGAAGCGACAGAGATTTGAAACTGTTGCCCCAGCAAATCGCTTCTTCGCAAGTGATCTTCAACCTTTCCGAATTTATACCGTACACACTGATGTTTTCCTTCAATTGAAATCCTATCTGAAATATATAAGTATAATATTATTACAAAATAAGTATAATAATATTACATATATAATTTTATATAAAATATAATATTATATTAAAATACATATAATATTACAAAATATAATAGGAAATATTGCGTTATACAAAGTAATATATGATTATATGTCCATACCATAGTATTATATTTGAAACAATCCGAATCTATGCCAAATAACAACAATTTAACATCCGATAAGAATTTTTGGGAAGAAATTTCTTGTATCAGGGATGTGGAATGCATCGCCTGTAACATAAAAAAAACAATTTTTTTTATACAATATATTTGTAAAAGTGTATTTGCAGGGTTGGGTAAGCTAATAATTTTTTAAAACTAAGTTAATTACAGTTAGTTGCTTATAAAATTAATTTAGTTAAAAGTTTGCATGAACAAAAAATTAACTCAGTTAAAGTAATATTAAATTAACTGAAATTAAATTAAAAGCTAATTTTTGAAAACATTATATTAAATTAGAATTGTTTGTTAATTCTTTTAAAATTTATAATAACAAATAACACAGAAATTTTTATATTTATATTATTTGGTAATTACAATGAAACAAATAAACATAAAAATTAATAATACTTTTAATTTACAAATAATACATTTATAACTTATAAAAAAATAATAGTATTCAAAGATAAAAAAATTTAACCTAGGAAAAAAGTTTGGTCAAAAATAACTAGTTAAAGTTAAAAATTAATACATTTTAAATTAGCTAAGCTAAGTTAAAAGTCATTAACTTTTTTTAATTTTTAACTAATTAACTAGTTATTACCCAACCCTGAGTATTTTCTATACAACTACCTTCTTTGGTAGCAGCGGTAAAATACTCGTTTCTCTTATCCTTGCTAAATGCAGCATCGTCTCTGGAAGATCAGTGACAAACAATAATTGTTTGGAAAACTCTAAAGCTCCGAAAGATTCCCACGTTCGTAATTTTGGGATGTAATCGTTGGAAATTTGTACATCTTTCCACAGCGTATTGATATTTCTAACATATTCCGATTCATCCATAAAGTTGTAATTGAAATTATTCGACACACGTGTAACACACAAGCGATTTTCATTTTGATTATCTACAGATTTGATCCATTCACAGGGTAAAGTTACATTTGATATAAATCTTTGAGTAGACGAATATAGCATATTTGTTTGCTCAACCTGAAGAACAAATTGCATACAAATTTATATATTAAAAAACTTGCATGTGAAAAACATGTATATATATAAAATGGTACAATACATCTTACCATAATGCTTGTCAAAAAGGGAGCAAACATGTTATGTGGTTTAGCTGTACTCTCGGTGCAGCTGGATATGCAAGGGGCCATCTGGATAGCATTATTGTACCTAAAATGATGTCTACGTACAGACAAGTCCTTAACAGATACATAAGAAACTTAATATCATACCTAATCGTTTCGATTCCTACTACAGTTTTTGATATATGCTGGTCCTCGAAAGACACTCTACTAACAAAATTAGCCAATGTACATCTGTCTCGCCTGGCAGAAGTCCTGCGAATGCCCAGTATCCCCTCAAACTTTTCCGGCATGATAAACGATTCCAAGGGATATGTTTGAAACATTGGTACACCATTTACGGATCTCGTAACATCCTCAGGCAAGAAAGGATTGACTTTACCATAGTGAAATACATCCTGTATGAAGAGTACAATGTTACATTTTATAAAATTTGATAAAATTTTCTATAATTTCATAACTGATTGAATAATTGATGATGAGACAAGTACCTGTACAGTGCTTGTGTCTGTCTGAAAGCTTTTAAGCTCTATCAACAATCGAAGAACTGGTTGAATCACAGTCTCTACATTAACTGTGTTACTATACAATTCGTTTATTAAGCTTTCCAGCTCTTCTGCTTCCAATACACGTCTGAGGGACAATCTGAGCACGAAGGCGTACTTCAATATCTCCACTAAGGGATCAATTTCAGAATTCACTACATTCTCTGCAACAGTGAAGAGTGCTATTGTTTGCGCAAAAGTATCTGCATCCACCTATCATACTTTATTGCATCAATAATAATAAATAATAAGAATATATAATCACAATAATAAATAGGAATATATAATCATAATAAATAAAAAAAATATATAATCATAATAATAAATAATAAATAATAATAATAATAATAATAAATAATAAAAATATATAATCATAATAAATAAAAATAAAATAATAATAATTATATTATGTGTGTATATAAATATGAATGTACCTTGACTGTACACTTTCTCACTCTTGTTCAACAATATTTCATAAGCTCTGGAGCGAAAATCCTTTACTGTTTTGACGTCGTTCCTCGGTGGTGTATAGGAGTTCCCATTTTCCGTGCGATTCCTTCGCAAGGTATGTTCGACCAACTCGGTCACGAGGCCGTAAATACCGCTACTAACATCGTTCCGTTCTGGATCCATGATCGAAGTACTCTTTCAAGCGATTATTAATTAATCGTTGCGACGAATTACGGGAAACGAGGATTATTTTCATAGTGCCATATGTAGTCGGCCATAACAATACAACGCGAGCTTTTAAACTCTCCCCACCCACTTTTTCAATGTTGTTTCAGAATAAAGAAAATATCAAGAATAGAAAAAATGTTAAGAATATAGAAATTATTAAGAATATAGAAAATATTAAGAATAAAAATGTTGATAATAGAGAAAATGTTAAGAATAGGGAAAACTATCAAAAATAGGGAATTTTGTCCAAATAGTCATTTTACGAATAATAATTATATAATTAATTGAAGAAGCACACACACATATGCACATGGGGATAGGAAAAAGCATATGCATTAAAGAGATTTATAATATATAGTATTAATTTTATTGCAATATTATACATATGCACACATACATGCGTATTATACATCGAACGAAAATACGCACATGCCTGCAAACATATATATTGATCTCTTTCGCGACATATATATGCATATACATATTTTTTATATATCTAGATTCCTATACACACACGTATGTGTACGTATATGTATAATGAAGGAACATACGTGCTGCTTTTAATTTTTTGTGAGATACGTATGTGTCAACATTTTGTACAACAGCGTAGTCCATCTACCAATTAAGTATCATCCAAAATCTTCTTTTGTTATGTCCCAAGTAACAAATTGACGTCATAGACGTCATTAAACGCCATTAGACGTCATTAAACGTCATTAATCATCATTAAACGTCATTTTGATGTCTAATGACGTCAGTTTGTTACTTGAGGCAGAATGTGTGCTCGTATATATGTATATTTTTAATTATAGAAAAATAAAGTTTTAGATAAACGTTCGTGTGCGCATGCGCGCGCAAAAAAATAATTTTGAATTTTTTTTATATTACACCACCGCGCAACTTCTCCTAACGCATCCAAAATACCCCCTCTTGGTTTCCGATAAATCTACATATAATAATGCTATATGTATTTGTTTTTCTATAACGCTAATCCTCCCCCTTTTATAGAGAAAAATTAACGAATTAAGGTGCCTTTTCATATGCAGCATGCTGCAGCAGCAAATCAGTCACGTGATCAAAATTTATTAGAGCATATTTCTTTGTTCTCTTATTATTTCGAGATTAAAATTACGATTTTTGCTTTTATATTCTCACAATAATCTATTTTATTCTTAAAATCTATTATTTAACTAATATAAGAATAACAATAATTAGAATCAACTAGTTGCGTGTTCTTTTGCTTTGTTGCCTTTGCTGTTCGTTCAATTGAACTTCACCAATAGCAACAAACTGCTGCGGCAGTACCCTAACAGCAGAAATGTTCGAAAGATATTCAGAGAATATCCATAGAATATTGCAACATTCTATCGATATTCTCTGAATATCTTTCGAACATTTCTGCTGTTAGGGTATGCTGCACATGAAATGATACCCTTACATTGCACGAAAAAAAATATGTATATAATAAATAGACTCACAATCAGTATAATTTAGAGTTTGACATCTCATAGATGATATTTTCTTCTCCTAAATACGTATATTTTATCAGATTCTCCCATTTAAATTTTATTCTTTTTTTTTTTTTATACGAAACATTCTCTTATTCAAACGTCAAAAATACTCAAGTGACAAAATGACGTCATTTTAACGTTTAATGGCGTCAATTTGCTACTTGGACGCTTTAAATGAAATTAGATAAACTATTCCGCGATGTAAGATACAAATCCGAGTTAATCTCTGATTAAATTTCAGCAAAATTAAAAATTATATGCATGCTGATGTAAAGATTCCCCGGGAACTCTTGTATTTGTATATGTAATTATATATATATATATATATATATACTTGTGTATTTTTAAGCAACCCCTGCTAGACTTAGATCCACTAAATCGCGTCCTTATATATGCTCTCAAATAGCTGACGTCATTAAATGTCAAAGTGACGTCATTCAAAGTGACATATGCTTGCTACCTGGATTGATTTAAGGATGTATAGGAGACAAAAGTAAAATTTCAACAAATTACTATTATTTTCTTCTAAATGGTTTAGTGAATGTTAATGTAATTTTGCAACATTATTCCTTAAAGGTTCCTTAAATTATACATGTAGAAAATTTGAAAAATATAGTACTATTTTTTTATATATTTAACATAATGTAATCAATCATAACGAATTTTCATAAGATTATATGTAAAACTAGCGGAAATTTAAATTGCAATAACTTTTTAGTTAGTGAATTAAATCAAAGTTTTGACAGTAGCTTTATAATTTTAACTCTATATAATTTTTACAAATTTTGTACCATTTTTAGATATCTCCCATACATCCTTAAATGTAAAATATTACAAGGTTCTACCTTTTTTTTGTTTCTTCTGGTAACAATCTTTAAAGCAAACTATATCATCGAAAAGCTCATAGTTTCCTAAAGTTTTCTCGCTCATCCGCTAAATATTTTTTTCTCATTACTCACGATACAATGATTTATTTATTTATTTTTTTAAGAGTAATCTCTCTATACAGTCTCTTGTTAAAACTGTGCCTCGTTTTCTTCACCCTCACACATGGAACATTCATGATTGAGCATATCATAAATGAAAAACGCTGTTGTAATAATAATTGTAATAATAATCTATTTCTCTCTTTCTTCTATCATTTTGCATTATTATTATTATTTAATCATTAATTGCGATAACGACGCCAAGTTGGTGCAAGCAGTAGTGCAACGAAAAAAATCACGCGAGTATATATATGAAATTGGATGTTTGATCTGCGAAATGTACTCGTAAATACACACACACACACATACGTGTGTCTGTATATATAAATATATATATATACACACACACATATATCGCGCGTTCACTCGATTGGATTACATTGGGTAACACATTCTCGTTTCTTTTTTTCGTCTATTTAATAAATCGGCTATTAAACTGCTGAATGGCACACGTTACCGCATCACATTATTGCAATTTGATGTATCAGCACGACGTATCAGCTGCTGTTACTATTTTGGATGACTTCATTATTATTTTTTGTATTTCTTTTCAATCAAATAAGCTCCATATACATATATATACTATATCTTCAGCCGAAGTTAACAAGTCATAAAGAGAAAGCATTTAATAAAGTATATTATCTTATATACATTGACTGATTGAGAGAATCATGTTTTAAAACATGAATAATCTAGAACGGGAAAAGTGTGCCTTTCCGTTCTCGTCATTCGTTCCTTTCTATTTTTTTCCAAAGTATCGGTAATTCTTCTGCGAACTCAACATACAACAGTTTTCTCTCTCAATTTATATAATAGAGAACCCTGACACGCTTGATCTCGAATAATGTGCAGTCTAAAGCGGTTAATGCAATTAAAAACAATATGAAGTCTGCAGTATGTGTTTTCGACGATAGAGTCAAATAATGCAAATGTAAATGATCTACATTAACGGGACGCCGTGTTGGTTCAATGATCATCCATGTCATGAATACGTTGGCGCTTCGGTTGCGACGGCTGGGACGCCTCCGGCGGCTCCGGACTTTCGACGATTGCCAGCGGGGCCGGGGAACCCGGCGAGCTATCCGACTCGTCGTGGGCACGTTTGCTAACGCTCCCGACGCCAGCATCGGGGCCGATAAAATTTCCACTGTTTCAAAACAGAGAGAATATCAAATAGAGATCTCGTTAACAGGAGCATCGTTGGTTACAGAGATATATAACCAGAGATGTGTATTAATTGTTATTCGATAAATAAATGCATTTGAAATGGAAATACAAAATGTGGCCATTTTACATTTAAATTTTTTTTACATTTTACATTTTTCTACTTTTAAATAATTTTTATTGCCCCATTTTCTATTTCAAATACATTTTTCTTGCGAATATTAATTGGTGTCAAGAATATTGTAATCAAGAAATATAGTTTCAAAACAATTGTTATTGGACATAAAATCAACGACATCTAACAATGTTCATGGTCCGTTTTCTCGCTTCTGACGTCACTATCTAACATGGTGGCAGCAGGATCCAGGGTCCCTTTTCCTTAAAATGGAAATACAAAATGTAAACTATGCCTATTTTATACTTAAAATATTTTTTTTTTCAAAAACTTTTCCATATCTATTTTTAAATGATTCTAATTACCCATTTTCTGTTTCAAATATATTTTTCTTGCAAACTAAATTAATCGAGATATCAATAATATTGCAATCAAAAAATGGCATTTTAAAAGACTAACTGTGAATGTCTGTAAATAATAGATATTATAGACATTTTTTATAATCTCATACATAAATGTTTATGTAATTCAATTTTTGTAAGTTTATATTAAAAAAAATAAGAATTTAAATAATAAGTATAATAATAGTAAGAAATATAAAAGATAAAAAATAAAAATGTTAACAAATATATAATATTGATATTTAAATACATTTTTTTTATTTTAAAAAACCATTTTTAAAAATCTCCATTTTCTATTTTAAATTGAAATTTGAAAAATAAAAATGTTAACAAATATATAATATTGATATTTAAATACATTTTTTTTATTTTAAAAAACCATTTTTAAAAATCTCCATTTTCTATTTTAAATTGAAATTTGACATTTTGCATATTTTCAAGTGGAAAGAGATTGCAACTGTTTTATATTTTCTATTTTAAATTCTATGGGTTTGTGGAATACCTTTTTCTGCACATCTCTGATTACGAATTATAATCTACAAGAAACAAACCTGTAATTATACGTCGTTTGTACAATAACAGGAGCAGGACTATATTGGCCAGCAGGGGATAAAGAATGGTCCTCTACAACGTTTGGTCCAGGCACCAAATATTTTTCTAGAGAAACGAGCGATGATACATTATTATTTTACCAAAAAAATGACAAAAAAAGAAAGAATCTTACTTAATTAAGGAAAAAACCCCTTACCTTCTCTTCCAGTATCACCAACTCCGTTTGTCACAATCGTTGTTTGCATTAGACGTCCCTTGTGAGTCGACTGAGTCGACGTGTACGGGTGTCCAGGGGAGCCAGGAGCGGATTGACTCGTCGCTAGTTGTCCAGCCGGAGAAGGGACCGAGCTGTCTGGATACGATTCTGGACCCGGAGAAGCCTCTCTGCTGAGGCATTCCGGAGTCATCAAGCCACTGATTCCTACGTGAGACGGTGAAGCTGGTGCACTCCTGCAAACAATATCATGTCAGATGGGGCTCAAAGACTCCTAACTAGTAAACTGATGTCATTTTGACGTCTAATGACGTCAGTCAACGTCAAAATGACATATGTGTTTAATATTTGAGATATATATATATATATTTAAAAAACATTCACACCCAAGTAGCAAAATGACTTCATTAGACATTAAAATGATCATTTCAACGTTTAATGACATCATTTTGGCGTCTAATGATGTCATTCGATGTCAAAATGGCATATATTTGCTATCTAGGATATATATATATTTTATTATATATATATATATATATATATATATATATATATAAATATAAACATCTTGATACTCAATTAACAAACTGACGTCATTAGACGTCAAAATGACGTTATCAGACGTCAAAATGTATATGGAAAAAAATATATGTTTTTTTTAAATTTCTTTAGCATTACCTCGAAGACAATGTCCCGAAAGGGGCACGAAAGCAAGGTACGCCACGCTGTCGCCTCCGTCTGAAGGCCTGATCGATTAGTTTTGCTTCCGACTGAGGATCAATTTTCCAAAAAGATCCTTTTCCTGGCTCTTCCTGGCTCCTGGGAACTTTGATAAAATAACGATTCAGAGACAAGTTGTGTCTGATCGAATTCTGCCAGCCTTTGTCGGCTGTCCTATAATACGGATAGTTCTTGGTGATATAAGAGTAGATGCCGGACAGTGTGAGCTGCTTGTCCAGCGCCGAGGCTATCGCTTGTACAATCAGTTGCGCGTACGAATATGGCGGCTTCGAATCGTCCTTAGGCGGGCTGTAATGAGCGGTTGTGCCGTTCGGGCCTGAATTGTTTCCACCCCGGTAACGCGCTTCGGGTTCCGGGCTAATCTGCCTGCTGGAGGAGGAGCTCTGCCCGCTTTCGTGCCTCTCCAACGCGTTATGTCTATCCAAGGTGGAATTCTGCGGATCATTCACTACCGCAGCAGCGTACGCGGCCACCATATGCAGGTCCGCAGATATGTTTCTCCTACCCTGGCCAGCTCGTGGACTAGCCGGGCAGGAGTTGGCGGCGCTGATGGTTCCCGTCGGCGACGGGAACGGGCTGCTGTATCCTGTATCCGGGATGTTGATCCGCAACGGCGGCAGGGGTGCTCTTTGCTTCGGAGGAGACGGCACGCGGATGTTACCCTGCTCCTGCTCGTCTATGAGCGATTGGAAGATCAGCCTGATCGTTGTACTGGGAAATCTGAATGTACACCTGCAACAAAGAACAAAGGTTAGAGATGATGTTGAAATAAGAGAGTACATTATGTTACTTCGAAAGAAATTCGTCGCCGACGAGAACTATCAGCGCCGCCAACTCCTGCCCGGCGAGTCCACGAGCTGGCCAGGGTAGAAGAAATATATCTGTGAACCTGCATATGGTGGCCGTGTACGCTGCTGCGGTAGTGAACGATCCGCAGAACTCCACCTTGGATAAACATAACGCGTTGGAGAGGCACGAAAGCGGGCAGAGCTCCTCCTCCAGCAGGCAGATTAGCCCGGAACCCGAAGCGCGTTACCAGGGTAGAGCTTTTCATTACACAAATGAGATTATATTTTACAATATATGTGCTTTGAAATTATTTATCAATAATATTCATCAATAATCTTTTTCTTCAAGTTATTAATATATAATCAATTATACTTACATGACTATTGATATTGTAAAAATAACCATTGTATATTACCTTATCTTTCTATCTAATTATCTTTAGTTATGGGTTTTTTTTGTAATTATTTTGTGTAATATTTTTGTCAGTTTTTTAATTATTCTGAGATAATAGTTTCAAGATGTTATATTGTAACAAAAATGTACAATTTATATTCTATGAGGTATTTGAGAAAAAGAGTATCCAAAAAATGTGCAATTATGTATTTCTTACAAAGTTACATTCCAAAATTTACTCCTTAGCGTAAAGTAGCTTTTGAGTGACCAATCAGAAATTTATGTTTTTTTTTGACCTTTCGGAATTGATTTAACTAATCAATTAAAGGCTACTCTAGGGAGTAAATTTTAGAATGCATCCTTTTGCTATAAAAAAGAATATAAAATAATATAATTATATTCTTTAAAAGTATTCCAAAGGAAGAAGAATATCCAAAAAAATGTGTAATTATATTTTCTTACAGGTATTATTTGAAAAAAAGGAGTGATATTCAAATCTTCAATCAAAAAGGAAAATATCCAAAAACAATTGTATTTCTTACAAATATTCGAAGAAGAGAATGTATCCAAAAAATGAACAATTATATTCTTTGCAGCAGAAGAAGAAGAAGAAGAAAAACAAGAACCATCTAAAAGTAATAATGGTGGAAAAATCTAACTTTCAAAAAATGTGCAATTGCATTTCCTCACAGTATATTTGAAAAAAGTGTATGATTTGATTTCTCATATGTATTCAAAAAGCAAAATATCCGATAGCAATTATATTTCTCATAGGTGTTCAAAGAGAAAAAGGTATCTAAAAATTGAAGAATTACATTCCTCGCAGATCCTAAAAAAATAAGTATCTGGAAAAATGTTACAATTACATTCGTCACAAATATATTTGAAGAAGGAGAAACATCTAAAAGCAACAACAGTTGAAAAATCCAACTTTCAAAAAATGTGCAATTGCATTTCCTTATGGTATATTCAAAAAAGCAATGTACGATTAGATTCTTCAAAAAGCAACGTACCCAAAAACAATTATATTCTTCATTTAAAGAAAAGATGTCTAAAAGAATGAATAATTATATTCCTCGCAGATCTAAAAAAAGAAATATCTAGAAAGATATGTATATTTGTCAATATGTGTCGGGGAATTGTGATCAACGCAAGACTGTTCTCCCAGACAACACAGTCTGTAACCAGGAGGTTAGAGAAATATCTGGAAAAATGTTACAATTATACCTTTGTCACAAGTATATTTAAAGAATGAAAAGCATCTAAACGCAACAACGATACAAATATCCAACTTTCAAAAAATGTGCGATCATATTTCTTCATGATATACATGTATTCGAAGAGAAGTGTACTATTAGATTCCTCATGGGTATTCAAAAAGCAAAGTATCCGAAAGCAATTATATTCCTCCCAGGTATTCGAATAAAGAAAGAAAATCCAAAAAGTGAACACATAAATTCCCCGCAGCTCCTAAAAAAAGATGCAATATCCAGAAAAATTATGCAATTAAGCTTGTCAAGGTATCCAGGACCAGAAAATGATGGAAAAATCCACCTTCCAGCCATGAGATAAAAATATTTACACTTCTCGACGAAACGATAACACGGAAAATGTCTGTAAATAAATAAACAAACATTCATATAAACGCGGAACGGCGAACTCACGATTTTGGTAGTTGAAAGGGTGGCGCGCCCTTGCGCTGAAAACCCCGTCGACGAAGACCCCATTCTTTCCGTTGCACATCATGAAGAAAAACGGGTGGTCGAAGTAGATCTCCAGGTGTCGGCGCGAGATGAAGGACGAGTGGCCCATGTTGACGTCGACCTCACCCTTGCTGCTGTTGCGGCCGATCGTGATGCGCCGCTGCCTAACCATATACTCGAACTCGCGGCCCTCCAGCCGGGCAATCGGCGCGCCCTTCGACTCCGGGTTCCACTGCATCTTCGTCGGGCTGGCCGGCGCCGACTTCAACGCCAGAAGGGCCCAGGCGTCGCTCTCCTGGGTACGGGAGTACGTAGACATAGCACACAGAGAAGATGAGAGCCAAGTGAACTCGCGGTCTGGTGTGGTGCTATTAGGATGGATGGAGAGAGAGAAACAAGGGGGGGGGGGAGAGAGAGAGAGGAGGGATATAGACAACCGCGCTGCGAGATCGAGAGATAAATCTCGAATGTTATATTAGATAAATAGATGCGCGCAAAAGATGGTGGACAAGGTGTAAGAGGAATATTGACACTCTCTCTCTCCTCAAGATATATATATATATATATATATATGTATATATATATATATATGTATATATATATATATATATATATATATAAGTGGATAAAATGAGAGGGAGGGAGAGAGAGGATGTATATGAGGAGGGGGAGTGAGAAAAAAATTAGAGCGAGAGATAAAGATGAGGCTCCAAAAAGTAGAGAGAGAGAGAGAGAGAGAGATAGAGGGAGAGAGAGAGACGCGAGAATCGAAAAACACGTACGGCGCGAGTAAAAAGTATCTTCACTCGCGCGAAATATGGCCGGCTTATTTCCCGAGAGAACTTCCCCCTCCAACCTTCTTCTCCTCTTCAGCTTCGCGCGCGCACGATATTACGTGACGTTTTCTCTCTCTTTCATATACAAATTTACACTCTCAATTACATATATATATATATATATATATATATGTATGTAACTTTTTACTTGCACATGTAACTTACATATATATGTAACTTTGCATGTATATGTAATTTTACATATATATGTAACTTACATATATATGTAACTTACATATATATGTAACTTTACATATATATACATATATAATCTCTTACGAGTTATAAACCTGGGTGCAGAGTAGGGTAAGATTTATAAGCAGCTTCTATCTCTCTCTATCTCTCTCTCTCTCTCTCTCTCTCTCTTTCTGTCTCTCTCTCTCCTCTGTTTTGGTGCTCCTTCTTTACGAGTCCGCTAACGATCGACGACTGTCAACGACGACGTTGACGGTGACGATGTGGATTGTGGATGATGATGTGACGCGGGAGGAGGAGGAGAAGGGCCCCGACACACGATGACGGGATGATGATATGATATACACATATACGCGCGCAACAAATATTTTCTTTCCTTCTTGTTTACCCACAATCCGAAATGTGGTTGATCGCCACGTGACCCGGCGACCGCAAATTTGGCGGCGATTTTGAATCCCCGGCGGCAAAGAAGTATCGAATTATCTTCTTCTTCCGAAATCGACGAAGATATACATTTGTAAAAATTGACTTTTTCTCTGAATTTTGTAAAAAATAAAATAAGTATATTAAATTATATATGGAGATAATATATAACGTTATTTCTGATCAATCTGTTTTACCGATATCGTTTTAGAATATGTCTAATGATGTTTTAAAACACCGTAAGATGGCGCTGCATGTTCAATAATTTTGCGAAAATTAAAACTGAGTCCACAAAAAAAACACAAAAATTAAATATTAGTTCTATTATCTAAATATTGTTTCTATGCATACAGTTTTATTTATATTTTTTATATTTACAAATTGAGGAAAAAAAATATATATATTGATATTTCAGAGAAAAAAGGAGAAATAGAACAATATAATTTATTTTTTTACAAAAGATATATTTGCTGCTCAGTTTTTCATTATTCACCGATTATTTACTTAATAACCTGTTTGTATTTTTCGCGTTTCATTGCGATAAAGAATTGCGATATACATACTCGGTTGTTAGAAAAGAACAGCAACCGAGGCGCCCATTATCGATGGCCAATCAAATTTCGCGTACGAGAAACGTCATCGTGAAGTGTCAAACGTCAGTCGCGTATCTTGCGAACACGTGCACCGTGGTTAAATTCTCCATAAAAGAGAAAAAAAATAACAAAAAATAAAAACACTACTAATATAGGGACAGAATAAAGGAAGTAATAAGAAAAAGAGGAGAGAAAGAAAATATATCGATTTTTTATTCGAATTAATATATCGTCATTACAATTTTCCTTTTATAGCTCATTATATTTTGTATTGTTTTTTGACATAATTAATTTTGATATATATAAGATCACACACACACACAGAGAGAGAGCTATCTGTGCGAGATAAGAAATAAAATAATTCGAGACAGGCGATTATATAAATTTTTTTATTTATTTTTTTCCAGAAAAATCGAGCAAATTTAACGCATTTTACACTACTGTCACTCAAGAATCAATCTACGCATACGATCTCTCGCGATTCGTCTCTCGACCTATCCGAGAATAGGCCGATCTTTTTGCTCCTCTTATACTTGCATACTCAATTTTCATTTATACAAACAATTAATTGAAACAATATACAGCGCGTCGAACAGCTGATCTACGTTTGAAAGTTTATGAAAGTTGTGTGCGTGCATTTTTTAATGTGTGAAGAAAAGCTGGAATTGAAAAGATGAACACAATAAACTGTGAAGTATGTATATATATATATATATATATTTTATTTTTATATCTATAAAATAAATCTCAAATCTTCTCGTTTTAGTGAATTTCACTTTTAAATGTCATGATATAAATAAAAAAATAATGCGTATTTCATGAATAAAATTATAATATATCTGAATATATATATATATGATACTTGAATATGAATGACATATTATATATATATATACTCACATGCATTCAAATAATCTCGAAATTTTACTTAATTGCGGTTATATCTCTTTAACCTTGAAAGGGGGCATCTTTCTTTTTATCTAATAATTATATAATAAATAGCATTATATACGTACGTATTACGATTTAATTTATGAATAATAAAGTATTTGAAATATAATAAATTGAAGAATAAAAATAAATATCGCGGGGTATCTGAAACTTTTTATTAATTAAAATTTATATATATATGTGAACAATATAATTTCTTGTTTCTATATATATAGTGTAATTGCTCATTATCATTACTACAATTTTCAGATAATTAAAACATTTTAAATTATAAGCTATTATATTTAATACATTCCAAACATAGATCGCAATAATCGATCGTATATGATTATCGTTCAGTATATTTATATAATCTTAAACGCATTGCAATGAAGGACACATTTGAGATAATTATACATATATGCATCAAACATGATGGGAATTAATGATCCAACATATTATCACGGAGTAAAAATAAAATATACACTCGAATCATAAACAATTAAGGAATCATAAAATTCATAAATATGCTAATCAAGATCGCTGCTCTTTGCTCATACAAAACTAATTATAATAAAAGTCTTACTTTTTATGTGATAATTATATGTTAATTATATATATATATATTATTATTAATACCAATAATATGTCATTCGTATCTTATTCATTGTTTGCATATGAAATATTATGTTTGTCGAGATAAAAATGCGTGTACAAATTTCGGATTGTGTCGAAAGAATCAGAAGAGACATGAAATATATAAAGCGCAGAAAATGCATTTTAGGCCAAATTCCTTACATATTTCTTTGCTGACTCCGCTTGAAAAGATAGGCGATACGATCTGTCGGCCTATGACAGATTAGATCGGTCGATGACAGAAAAGACATGTTCCTTACTTAATAATGACATAATAATGCCTCTTGTGACGCGACTATAAATATATACGCGCCTAATGGTCCTATTCCGAAAACGCGAGAAGCCGAGTCTATTTTAACGGATTTGGAGCGACTAGGTTCCCCGGAGTAGGGTCCCGTTGACCCTACGGACGCCTAAAACCAGACGTCCTGGACGGACGGCCAGAGAGAGTTCTCGGCTACTCGCGAGTAGCGATCCTCCGAGATCACCTTGATCGCGTCATTCGTCGCGAATTTGCAATTCACAATTCACGACGTCACTCGCTCCTGCCGGGTTGCACTTTAACCTCCCTTTTTCTCTCTCGCGCGCGCGTCCCGGGTCCACGTGGGTCGCCGGATCAACCGCAATGCAAAACGTACGAGCATTGGTAAGTGGCCGATTCCGATCGAAATCAAACGGGTTGCTTGCAATCTCGCCAATATCCCAAAAATGTCTTATACTTTGCTCAATAAGCGTGATTTTTTAAAGATAATATATGTGCTGAAAAGTCGGAGTGATAAATGATGTGTAAAAAAGAGATTTATATATTTCAATTTTTTTTGTGTGTAAATATTTTCTGGCAATTCATGATAATTTGTATTATATAATATATATTCTAAAAAAGGCATTCGTCCAACATCCCTTATCCAAAAACTTTCATCAAAGTGCATAAAAATCTAAATTTTAAAGAAATGTTTGCAAAGTTATAAAAGTTGTAAACAAAATTTTCTACAAATACAAATCTATAAAACTTACATTTATATTAAAACAAAGTTTTATATTTCTAGGTGCTTCCAGTCTTAGCTGCAGTGGGAACAATAGTTGTTATAGGAGTTGCATTTAAAATATACAAATCTTGGAGCGATAAAAGAAAAAAATCTCCAATACTACTGATTGATCCAGTAGTCAAGTATAGTTTACCTTTAATTCAAAAAGACATAATAAGTCATGATACAAGGAAGTTTAGATTCGGCTTACCAACACCGAATCACATTCTGGGTCTACCTATTGGTCAACATGTACATTTAACGGCAAGAATCGGGGAAGAGGTTGTGATACGGTCATACACACCTGTCTCAAGTGATGATGATCATGGCTATGTGGATCTTGTCATCAAGGTAATTAATTAAATTATTAAATTAATTATAATATAAAAAAAAACATGTTTTGAATATATATTTTTCAGGTATACTTCAAGAATGTGCATCCAAAATTCCCAGAGGGAGGAAAATTGTCTCAATATTTGGAAAACATGGAAATAGGAGACACCATTGACTTTAGAGGTCCATCTGGTAGATTGGTTTACAAAGGAAATGGAAAGATCTGTATAAAACTTCTTAGGAAAGAACCACCGGTAGAATATAATGTTAAAAAGGTAAATACATTTTTATACATATATTAAATACGAGTTGTTATATAACTTGGGTTTTATTATTATTTTTAAGAGCAACTAGGTATTTTCTTAAAAGAATATGTATAATAAATCTACATTTCTTTCTCTGTACAGATTGTTATGCTCGCTGGTGGTACAGGCATTACACCAATGTTGCAGTTAATCCGTGCGATAATAAAAGACCCTACAGATGAAACTCAAACTTCCTTACTATTCGCTAATCAGACTGAGAAAGATATCTTGCTACGAGATGAATTACACGATATCGCCAAAAAACATCCGAACAAATTGAAACTTTGGTTCACAGTCGACACAAGTAGTGAGGGATGGCCTTACAGTACAGGATATATCAGTGCTGATATAATAGAAAAACATATGTACCCACCATCATCAGATACCATCGTACTAATGTGTGGTCCACCTCCGATGATCAATTTTGCTTGCACTCCAAATCTCGATAAACTTGGTTATGATTCCAAATTACGATTCGCATATTAATTGATGATTTGTCATGCAGATCATATAGAGTTTGCATCTGGCAAAGATTTGCTTTGCTTTTAGTAATGTTTAGGGGTAAATTTCTGATTAACTAAATGTCATACAGTCTGCTTGGTACATAATACCAATCAAAAACTTATCTGTTAAATTTTCATCCAAACTTATTCATAAAGACAACTCAAACAGTATTGCATAATTCCTTGTATAAGTGTTATAAATTTACAAAATCAACGAAATGTAATTGTGCTATATACAAATTATCTATATAGAGTTAAACGAAAAACACCAAAAAAGTTTTGATTTTTTTTTTCAATTTTAAAGATTGACAAACAAGATTTTAGAGCAAATCATCAAATTTATATGAAATAAACATTTTCCTTATGACTAAAATATATTTTATTCAATTCATTTTTTTGTTCATTAAAAAGTGTACAAAATTAGGTAATTAAAGTATATTGTTCGTGTAGAATATGCATACAAAATATTGTATAAATATTTTTCAAGCATTTATTAATGTTGAATCTATTGTATTGTTATAAAAAGTTCTGAATACAGACGTTCTGCTTATTGTACAATATCTCTCATTTGAGAAATTAGGAAAAATAAAACACAATTCTTGTAGAAATATAACACAATGTTCGAAGCAGTGTAAATGGTATATTCTGCTTACTGTGATAATTAGTACATTAGTATCAAATATATAACATTGTGAACAAGAGAGTGAAATATTGACGCGCAATTAAATAATACTCCAATATCTTGTTAATTAAACATGTTAATTTTAGTTGTTGCATGAGAAAGTAAATGGCAATGATAATAGCCATGTGAAAGTATCGCAAATCGAAACAAAGATAGAAATTTTTTATTTTAACAATGTCCTCTATCTTGAGTACGTTTCCTAGGAGCCGCACGCAAAATGTCATCCACACGTAATATCATTTCCGCTGCTTCAGCTGCGCTTATGAGAACTTGTCGTTTTACCACCCAGGATTCGGTGATTCCTAAACGCTTCATGCAACCAATTTTGCCCAATTCCATATCTGCAAGATAATACGATAAATTTAGTTTAATGTATCCTGTGTAAATCATAAAAGCTGTTCACATACATACACACATATACAATGATGTTATATATATCACAAAAATATCAGATCGAATAGAAATCACCGACTATGTTGGAATTGTAACGTTAACGGCAAGAAAACATATTAAAAATTCTGATGCCATTTCAAAATAAAAAATATTTCGATAAAACCACTTCAGATGGCTTTAGCTCTTAAAATATCTTGAAAGTTATCTTTTTTTCTTTATAATCAATTAATAGCTGTAAAAAAACTATAATATTGGCCTAGTCTGCGTAGTTTGGTATATGCGCAGTTATTCCGCATGACAAAAATCTGATATCATGATCATTTTAAGAATTTTCAGCGTTTCTCACTTCTGACGTCACAATCTAACATAGCCACGGCGAGGATCCAGAAGCCTTAAACATTTACCTAATCCCATGGTGCTGCCACCAGAATTATGCGCAGCTCTCAACTCGCTAATCAACTGCGCAGAGTCATAGCCAGCATTGTCGGCGATGACGGTCGGCAACTGCTGCAAAGCTCGTGCAAATGCTTCCATCGCAACCGCTTCCTTACCCGGTGTGGAAGCAGCCGCTCGCATAACGGCGCAAGCCATAATCATCTCGCTGCACCCACCGCCATAGACTATTTTCGATTCGCGCACTGTGGCGGCCAAGACGCAGAGCGCGTCGTGCAACGACCTCTCAGCTTCGTCGATGATCTGCTGAGTCGCGCCGCGAATAACAACGGTGCATGCTTCACCTAATGGAACTCCGGAAAATCTCAGGAGCGTGTCTTCCCGATCATGACCTGCGTATCAAACAACATATTAATTATATAATATAAAATTCGTATGTGTGTGTTACTGTAATATGTTACTTATAAGTTATATTTATGTAAATGTATAATATATTAAAAAAATTAAATTTTAACGTTATTTGTAATCGTCGCGTTAATACCGAATGTTGTATTATAGATAACTGAAACATCCAATATTGAATTGCAAGAAAAAGGAAAATTAATTTACCTGCTCGATAAGATCGCATTTTCCGAGCTTGACTAATTCTGGATTATCAAAGGTGCTGACTATTTCGCCACCAGTAACAAGCGCTAATCTCTCGATACCGTCGAAATCTGCATGCTCGATAGCCATGATTCCGGCGTCGGCGAACAATTGTTCTGGATAATTGTAAATCAATTGTCTATTGATGAAAACGTTGCATTCATGCTTCAAGATCTTGTCGACCTTATCCTAAAACGAAATGCAGAAACTTATTGCACATTGATTGGAAGTTTAGAAACATGCATGAAAAAATTTAATGTAAATATTATACATGTACCTTCATCTTTTCTTTTTCCGCAGTTTCCAATTCTGCGATCTTCGCCATTGAATCCACACGAACTCTGGAACCAAATACCTTCAAACAAAAACGCATGCAACGTTAGAATCATTTAGATGATTAAAAAAAATATTATATGTACATACATATATAATAGAAGTATATACCTTGATTTTGTCCGTGTCCATAGATGTATTAGCGATAAGTATGCGTGCGTCGCTAATTTTTTGTGGTTGATGAACACCAGGCTTCTTATCCAACAGGAATCCCTCATCCAAGAACGAATCAGCGAGCGTTGCGCCGCGTTTCTTTATAACTTGAATAGCAGATAAATTACCAGAACCCTTAAGACGCAACACCGCGTCAACCGCAAGCTTGCTAAAATGTTCCTTGTGTTGCGATAAGATCTTGGAGCTCAGTGTTGTGCGCGCGATATTCAGTAAATCCTCGCGGAACCGTTCGGGATCCGCCGAGTTATTTGCTGATGCATTAAGCAGAGCTTCTGTTGCTACAGTAGTAGCATTTCTCCAACCGCTAATAATAGTCTGTGGATGAATCTTTTGATTCTCAATCAGTTTCTCCGCTTCACGCAAGAGTTCAGCAGCTGCAAGGAATAAAAAAGAGAATTAAGCAATGTTTAAGTGACTCAAGCAATGCTAAATCCAAATAATTAATGTACATACCAAGAACAGTGACTGAAGTAGTGCCATCTCCTACTTCGTCATCTTGGACACGAGACATGTCCACCAAAATTTTGGCAGCAGGATTATCAACACCAACACTCTTAAGAATGGTAGCGCCATCGTTAGTAACTTGCACTTGCCCTGCAGACCTTCCGTGAGATACAAGTATCTTGTCCATGCCCTTAGGACCGAGGGTGGATTTCACTAGATCTCCAATGGCTATAGCTCCAATGAACGAGCTCAACCTAGCAATCTCTGCTTTTTCCTCTCCAGCTTCATGTTTGAAGATCCGTACCGGATTCAAGGAAACCTTGCAACAAATTTGGTAAATAATTTATTTACTTATTCACATAATATAAAATCTGTAATACTTGAACAGAATCGAAATGGAGCAGCATCCGTTTCTTTCAAGTAATAACTACAACATTTATAAATATCATGACTGATGTCGAGATAATTGATTTAAAAACGAAATTCTTGAATATCACATCGTGCAACATTATAAATATAGTTGAAATTATCATGTGCAAGTTGTCTTCTGCTTTTTCGACGAAACACGCCATTTGTCGTTCGCTTGAGACCGGGTTCTTGACAATCTTGACGATCAAGACAATTGCTGACGTTTACTTCAATTTTCAGGTAAAAGAGAAGACGAAACCACGTGCGAAACTTACCATCGTAAATTAATGCGAAGATCACTATTTTTTCACAAGAAAATCACGCAAATGACGGAAAGATGAACAATCGTCGTAATGGCAAATAATCGTGATGTGATTATTCAGACCGCCATGCGTCATGTGACGTCACTCTCGACTTGTTTTCATGGAACGATGACACTCGACGCTGATTGGCCGCATCTGACAGAAGAGACCAATCACGTTCGAGTGCTACGTAGCAGTCGAGTCTGCTGAACGCGGTCGATGATTCGCTGCGACACAAACGAGGAGCGAATCATGAAACACGATTCAGAAGACGGAGCGGAAATAAGCCAATCGGAGAGGATATTTGGATTTTGGATAACCGTTGAAATCGCGATATTCAACCGTGCAAGTGAGATTTGCTCCTTTCTCTTTTGAGCGCGTTGTATGTCATTTTCTGAAATTAATTTCCTTTTATGTCCCGATTTGAACGCTGATGATTCATATATGTTAAAACGAGATACATGCAAAGAAAAGAGATAGCTAAGTACAGGTAAGAAAACAAGAAAGACAAACAGTGTATCAATAATGAAAATCATATATACTATTAAACAGAAATGCCATATTTAAAAATTATTATAATTGATCAAAAAATATAAATCTTAAAAAGATTAAAAAAGATATAAATCTTAAAAGAGAAAAAATTTTATGGAATTACTATAGCAAAATTTGTTGTGTAAATATTAATTTTAGCAACAAATATGGTATTAATTATAAATATATACATTCGTAAGAGGAAAATTATGAAAAATAATAAAATATGAAGATTTACGAAATAATTAAATGTGTTACAAGTATTTTGGAGAATTATATCAAGTTATTTATTACCATAGAACTTATATTTATTACAGAGTATTTGTGTAATGTAGTTGTTGTATCTTGTAATTACGTGAATTATTTTTTAAACATCTCTATAGAATATTTTATATAACACCCATTATTTCCAACACTGCCATATTGAATGATCTAAAAAATCAAGTATACAATTACAATGTATCTTCATTAATTTTGACATACATATAAAGTATAGATTAGATTTAGAAATGCGCGCATACTTAGAAGCACTTACTTAGAAGCTATTTGATCACCTGGAATGTAAAATGGATTGCAGACAGCATTGGAATATGCAGCATGTAATTTCTTGAAAGTCTGTAATCAGAAGTTGTTAGGGTGATTACTTACAATATAATGAATGAGTAATCAAAAAGTTATATAAGAAGAAAACAAAACATTACCATTTTTACTTCATTGTCTCTTAATGATACATTGGATGACTGCAACACTATGACAAATTTAATCTTTGTGTTAGTCGCATATCCATATCTAAAAACAGAAATGAATAGAAGTATACATTTGACATATAATTTACATCTGTAATAGGTAATGTTCTTTGCATAACGTTACGTACATTTTATATTCTTCAGTCGCGAACAACAAGCCCAAATATAAGTCTCGTATATCAACTGTCGTTTTATTTCCTACATTCAATTTTTCTTCTATAATATCAATCGACGTGTGCACTTTATAATGAAATTGTAAAGCAGAAGCTTCATCTGCACACTTAATGTATTTTGGAGAATTCTGCAAAATATTTTTCCATTAATTTCGTGAATAATTTAATCTTTACAATTTGACGAGACAGGCAGGACTTGGGATAAGGATATATTTAAACATATACACATTTTATTACATTTATTATTAAAAAAAAAAATTCTGTTCTTAATCGTAACCTGTAAATTCGAAAAGAACGTATATACTTGCATCTTTGCCAATTACAGCTACACAAACGACCATTTTAGGAGATTCTACGAAAATGCAATAACAAGATTTATTATAATATATCACACATTTTCTGCTAGATATACTTTTAGATGAAAATAATCGCGAGGGTAAACATTTCGTAACTAGAAGCAAGATTAGGTTAGAGTAACTGTACTATAGTATATGTGCAGTCATTTGAATAAAATTAAAATACTATTTTTTTAATAGATAACTTTACTTATAGTTAAAAAATATAAAATACAAATATTAATATTTATTGACATGATACATAACTGTATTATATACAGTATGCAAATATGTATATATAAAATGTGTATGTATACATATCATATATATATGTATATATTACAAATCAATAATTCTAATTTATAAAAGTATACTGCATTGATTGAGCAGTGTATTTATACAATTAACGTGGAATTTATACAACATTATCAAACATTTGTACAATTTGATATACAATATTCTTCCTTCTCTATTATTGGTCATAATATCTTCTCTTCAAGGTTCTGTACTTGCGCAACATGTATAAAGCTTCTAATTCTTTGATTACAAAATTACCATGTCCTATCATTTTATCTATTTTTTCAGGATCAGTTTCTGTCTTGTTCTTATCAAAAGCTCTCTTCAGCTTGGTCCTGAAATATTGATATCCCTTTGGATAGTCTCGGCCCATGAACAATAGCTGAAAAAAATTCAATAAAAGAGAAAATTTTAAGCAAAATTAATAAAGAATTAAATTTTGAAATTTATTTATATTCTAAAAATAATACTAAATTATATTAATAATTATAAAATGAGGTATTACATGTTGAACACAATATTAATTATTAAATACTATTAAAATATGTATGACAGAGAACACTTACCGTTTTGTATAATTCAATAACTTTAGTACGCTGTGACATGGCACATGATAAATTTCCAAGTTGAGTTGACAGATAAACACTTTGGAGAAGAAGCAATTATGACATTCGGTTATATTTTCGGTTTTGATTATTCTCATTAAAAACAGCAAAAATGAGAAAATAACAGTATGAACTACGCTTTAGAGAAGTGTCATGTGAACTGTACATGTGCAATGTCATTACTGTCGAACGAATCACACTCTAGACATTTAGCCTTCTCATGTTTGTATATAAACATATACAAAGAACGTTTTCCGCGAAGTTTCGCAAACGCAGTTGAGAAAGTATTCTATCACTTTACCATTATTGTTGTGTCTGCGACGAAAACCAAATCTCTGTGTCTGCGTCGCAATTGAGGTAAATTTCACATTACACATGTTTGTAATTCAGCGATACCGGTTTTTTTTAATATATCGCTATATATAACATTTTGCAACGAGATATAAAATTGAGCACTTCTTTTAATGACCTTTTTCTTTATTTTTTCGCCAAACATATTTTCAATTTTGTATAAAATGCACTTTGATCCGAGATTTTGAATATTTCTCAGGTTACACAACGCATAAAAATCGAAGTTAAAACTGTTTTCGGAGTAATTCAATATTGCTTTGAGAAAAAAATTATTTGAATGTTATATCAAAGTGAAAAGAATAAGAAAATATAAATTAAAATAATATTGTTACGTTTTCAACAGTAATATAAGTAAAAAAGAACAACAAAATTTTAAATATTGTTAATTATTCTTTGGCATTTTATTTTTATCTACTTTTATTTTTTCAATGTAATTTTATATTTTAAAGCTCTAATACATAATACATATATACATATATGTATGCCTTAATTTTACATTTATTTACATATATATATATATTTATGTAGATAAAATTGCTGATTATTGGCTTTTTTCTTTAATGACATTATTTGTCACTGTGATAATATCCATTGTTGCATTAATGTGCCTTTTTTCCTGTTGCCTCTTTTTAAACAAGACAAATGCAATAGTGTGCACCATTAATTCGATTAATGTATACGTGCCCATCCATCAATCAATGTGACCCATTAGGTCAGCTGTGTTATCGGAATACTGATAAATACATAAATATATGTTTATTTTGCTGTGTATTTCAGAAAAGAAAATGTCTAACTTTAGGAGTAGTATATTTTTAATATTTTTTGGTAAGTAATATGTAATATAATATATTGTGTTAATTTATCTTTTCAGTTTTTTTTAAATATAACTTTAATATAACTTTAAACTTTGTATAGGAATATGTTATGCAACGGCGTTTTCCACGAAAACTTTAACAGCACCAACATTCAGTAAAACATATACAGTAAAAGGAACTCTGTATATACCATATGCAGAGATCCGAGAGCCTTTTTATGCATGGTACGATGGCAACAGCGGATCTAGTCGGATTGATTACTATGGAGGTAGATATTTTTAAAACTTTATTCATTCTTCTATTTTTAATTTAGATATAAGCTAATTTAGTTACATAGCATATATACGTAATGTATGAGCAACGTATATGAAACCTATTATTCTTTGTTCAACAGGAATGGTTAAGACTTTTCAACTGACAAATAAAGGGCAATATGGAGCCAGCATAAAAATAGCACCTATTACTACCGAAACTGTTGTTAATGAAGAAACATGTCTTCAAGTAAATGGCACTTTCGATATGAAGATACAGCCTCAATCTATTATTCCAGATGCCTCTGAAATGGAGGTAAAAAATATACAATTAACAATTTATAAATATGGAAAATATATATTGAATATGTTTTTAATTTAATATAATAATAGAACTTAATTTAATGTAATAATAGAACTTAATAAAATAAAATTTATATACAGTGCATCGGCGAAGAGATGATCAATGGATTGTTGTGTGAGAAATGGCGGCTCATACAAGAAGTTGGAGAAAAAACGAATAAATATACACTCTGGATACGTTATAAAGTAGGAATTTGATTATTTGTGTAATTTATTGCAATAAAATAATATCTACAGTATAAAAGGAGAAATGGTCTTTGCAGAAATCACCATATTTTCCACAAGTTAAGGAGCCCATCCCTGTAAGATATGAAATGAAAGGATTTAATAGTCTCTTAGGTTCACATTATGATCATTATTATTTGGAATATGACTGGTATTCCTTTGATAAACCTTCCGATGATGTCTTTAAAATCACAGAAAGTATGTAAAATACCTAATTTTTACAATTTTATTAGTTTATCCTGATAAGAATTTTATTTTTTAATATCATAATATTACTTTTAAATCAAATTTAATTACAAAAGAATATTGTTTATTTGCAGATGCAACATGTATTAGCTTCCCAGGACCAGGTGAAAAACACATATACACTTTTAATCCAATGCGTGAATTTATTCATAATTATGAAGATCATTTAAATGAAGCATTTGACATATTCAAGCAGACTCATCAGAAACATTACAAAAATGAATTGGATCACACGTATCGCAAAAATTTATTTAGACAAAATATAAGGTACAGTTCTGTCAGAGAGAGAGTACACATTGTACATATTATAAAGATTATTCTGTTATTTTATGTAAAAATTTCAGATTTATCCATTCTATAAATCGCGCCAATTTAGGTTACCAGTTAAAGGCAAATCATTTGACAGATCGTAGTGATCTCGAAATGAAAGCTTTACGAGGCAAACAATACACTCCAGGTTACAATGGTGGAGCACCATTTCCACATGATATCGAGAAGGAAATCGCAAATGTTCCGGACAGTATAGATTGGCGATTGTATGGTGCTGTGACACCAGTTAAAGGTATATAATTCATATACAATATCGCACTTTGCAATTATATGTACTAAGATGTTGTTATAATGTATTTTATTTTAACAGATCAATCAGTTTGTGGTTCTTGTTGGAGCTTTGGTACTACTGGAACAATAGAAGGCGCATATTTCTTGAAGCATAATAAGTTAGTGAGACTATCCCAACAGGTAAGCAATTTGTAATCAGTATCAGAATGTACAAATTTTTATTATTCTGTTGTGTGAGAGATTATTATTGTTTTTATTTGGCACTTTTAATGTTAATGTACTATACAGGTAATAATAAATGAAACATGAATATTGCAGACTCTTATTGATTGTTCATGGGGTTTTGGTAATAATGGATGTGATGGTGGAGAAGATTTCCGTGCATATCAATGGATCATGAAACATGGTGGTTTACCTACCGAAGATGATTATGGTGGTTATTTGGGACAGGTAAATTATTCCATTACATTTATTAGAGACAAAGGTGGCCAATTGATATAATTACTTATATTTATTGCGTATACAAAACGAAAAATATAAAGATGATTCTTTTTTTTTAGGATGGATACTGTCATGTAAATAATGCAACGTTGACAGCTAAGATTACAGGATTCGTCAATGTTACTCCACGCAGTGTAGACGCTTTGAAAATTGCCATTGCTAAGCACGGTCCAATTTCCGTCGCTATCGACGCCTCCCATAAAACGTTCTCGTTCTATTCTCACGGAGTGTATTACGATCCAACTTGTGGTATGAGATTTTAATACTTTTATTACAATTTGTAAAAGTTTTTACAAGTTTCTTTACTCAATTACTATATTTTTGGATTCAAAAGGCAATACAGAGGATAAATTAGATCATGCTGTTTTGGCCGTTGGCTATGGCACTATGAATGGAAAGGGTTATTGGTTGATAAAGAACTCCTGGTCAAATTACTGGGGCAATGATGGATATATTCTGATGGCACAAAAAGATGACGATTGTGGAGTTCTTCTTGCTCCTACATATGTTACTATGTAAAAATATATCTATTTCTTTATAAGAAAGAAATTATCTATTCTATATTTCTAGGAACTAAAATATTATATAGTGCTCTCTAAGTTTTCAGTTAACTTAAACTTAAAACATAAATATAAATAAAAGAAAAATTATGAGAGGCTACATAAAATATATTTAGTAGTTTAGTTACATGTTTCATAATAAAAATGAACTATAATAAATTGTTGGAGATTCTACTTACTATTTATATAATTGCTAAAGGAAGATTAAGATATGGAAATTATATAATAGTTAGAAATAATTAGAAATATAGAAGAAATAAAATGTTTTCTAATAAAAAGCATTTGCACAAATTTTAAAAATGAGCATATATATGCTTCAAGCAAAGAATCCTATATTTATCTCCAGAACAGAGAACTAATATTAAATTAGTATCACATAATTTTATAGACTCGATTTTTTTAATTTATAAATAATTTTTTGATAAATTTTGCAATTTTTGAAACACAAACGCTATATCATATTTTCAATTAATTTTTATTAATAGCTTTGTTAACGAATAATACGATATATATTCAGAAATTTTTATAAACTGTTTTTACACATAACGATGTCAACCGTAATTAGCAACTATACTAATTCGTTTCTTCTTTTTTATATTAATTAATGCATTTTTTCTGTTTGTCAAATAGCCTTGTACAAGTTCAAAATACGCGATAATAACTATATATTTTTACAAATATATAAATACTTTTCCTAGAGCATGTGTGCATTTATGTCCAGTAATGGAGAGCGTGTAGTAATGTTTCATGATATGGATACTTTCAAAATATACATAAGTAATGCTGCTTATAATTATATCTGCGTACGTACAAACTAAAGGAATGTAGAAATTATAAACGTAATACAAAGAACATTTATCAAGATAAAAATTGGAAACGTGTATCAAACTATTAAATTAATTTTTTGTAATAAATTTAATTAGATACGTTGAAGTGTCTCTTGATAATATATATTATAATATATTATACATTATATTATAAAATATATATATATATATATATATATATTATATATATAATATATAATTATATAAAATATTATATATCAATGTGAGATATAAAAAAGAAAGCGAATAACTAAAATATTAATGCATGAAAAAATGATATCGGTAGCAAACAAACAATACATTGTGAAGTGTCTCTTGATAATATACATATATTATAACATTATATAATAATATTATATTTATATATAATATATAATTATATATATATCAATAAGATATAATATTAATGCATGAAACAAATTATATCGGTAGCAAACAAGTCTTAATGAAAAATTGCTCTCTGGTAAAATCTGACATAGTACATTAATAAAAATTGTTGAACTTCGTCGTTATCGTAAAAGTAAAATGACGCAGATGATAAATATTTAAGTACATGAAAGAAGGATATATGTATACTTTTCGCAGATTTTGTTTTTAGTTTATATAGTACATGTGCGACTACAGAGTCGACGCTAAAGCCAAAAGTCCGCAAGAATCTTGTACATAAATCTTTATATATCCGAACTTTTTTCTGAGATGGTTCACTCGTTATCACTAAAAATTTTACTTTCATTTTATATCACTTACGGACATACGTCAATGTCCTATCGAGCTCATGAAATATTTCGATATCGGCGAATATAGCCACAGATGGAGGCGATGAGCCTCCTTTTTACATATATGTATATGTAATGATAAGTTATAAAAATGATAAAAATTGTTTCAGAGAAATAGAGAGAAGGTGAAGTACAGTTAAGCATAATTTTGTCATTTTTTTTCTTTTTGTTTTAGATGCAATGCAATCTTCCATATGACCGAAACGTTTCCTCGTCTTATTTTCTTCGTATATATGTATCTTTGTTTTGATTAAAGGAACCCCATTTTTAAGGCATTGTATAGGGCTTGAGTATCCGAATGGCTATTTATTCTCCAAAAGGGAAAATTGTGCGCTCGAGCTGCCGTCTCTTCATCTGAATCATCACCTATCACCACGTACGTACATCTACGTCCAAATCGGGCAACCACTCTGCCGAAACAGCTCTCCTTTCCTAAAACGGTAAAAAAATTAATTTGCTATTATTCACAAAAATAACAGCGAAAATGTCTAATTTCTAATGTACAATTTATATTATATTATAATTTATATTATATAATAATTTAATTATTTCTTTGTTTGATATAGTATAAAATTACCAATTTTGGAGGCCGAATATATATTTTCTATGGGAAATATCCCGCCGATGCCGAAGAGCAGAACCTTGGAGAGCGCGGGTACCAGCTGCGTAGTCGTCACCAGGATGTTGATGCAATGACTCCTCTTATTGATGATGTTAAGACACTCGACGGCCGACGTCAACCATTTATCAGTCAGCACTTCGATCTCGGAACGCAACTGTAGCCACTGTTCGCGTTTGGCCGTGCCCAACAAACCGCCCACGTTGTTACGATAATTGCAGTAGATCTCCTTAATCTTACGATAACGAAATGCCAACTTCCTCATCCAGTCGACGCCGCCTCGTACACCAGACGCCAGGCATATCCCGTTATTCGCGGACGCGCACTGGAAACCATCGGTCGTGAAGTTGTAGGACGACAAGTCCTGTCCGTTATCGTCCGACGAAACGTCGTCTATGTGTACTTGATCGCAGTCCTACGGGGAAAAAGAAAATAGATACTGGAGAGCTTTCATTAAAGTTATATGAACAAACCAGGTACTTGAACTATCATTTATGAATAACACATACAAAGTAATACATTCTGTATATCTTTTGTCAAGTACAAAATGTTATACATAATTGTAATTATTAAATTAAATATTAAATATTCGCAGAGTTTGATTAAATATTAATAAAAGAATCATATATATACATTTTTATATATCTAGAAGAATTGCTCTATTTTTTATTTTTAATAAATTAATATTATGTATATGTAAATATGTATATAAAAGTTATGTGTAACAGGAAGATTTTATCACCTCGACATCATTGAAGAAAAAGTGCGTATCTGCTAAACTGAATATCATCTCTTCCATTCTGTACGCCGCTTGGGCCAGAAGGGCTGGATCCTTACGGTGCTTCGTGGCGAATTGTCCGGTGAGCAGAGAGTGAAATACAACTATGGTTTCATCCAGATCCCAGATGAATATACGTTCGGGACCGGCTTCCGTCGTATCCGCCGAACCGATACTGTTTCCGCTTCCGCTCTGCCTCCTTCCGCGCCTGCATGGCTTCGTCGTCGCCACTACGAAAGCGAGAACATTTGTGAAAGTGTCGCTCTCATCGATAAATATCTTTCGATCCCACTTACGTGAGAACAATGTATAAAAATATTATTCTATATTTTCTTTATCCAAATATGGACACAAATTTCAAGCGAATGTTATGTCACACGCAATATTCTACCAAAAAAAAATATATATATAGAGTATATTAGCTATAAAAAAATTAGCTACCATAAGTTAGCTAAATTTTAGTTATCTCTATATTACACCTTTAGTTATCATGTCTAAATTTTAGCTATGATAGTTTTTTTAGTTATAGAATTCTCCGTTAAACTATAGCTAAAAAATATTACTTACCATAGCTAAAATTTAGGCATGATAACTTTAAGTTGTAATATAGGGACAGTTAAAATTTAGCTATGGTGACTATTTTTTTCTCTGATATATACTACGTGAAAATATCGTAGATATTGTTTTTTAACTAGACGTAACAAAAATCAGTTAGATTTAAATGGCTAGATCTGCGACTAAAAGGTTTGAAAACTATAAAAATGCGTGTTACAACAAAGCAAGATATAAATCGGTTTTTTGTTACCTTCAATGTTTACTGTTTCCCTCGCGGTGAGATCGCTCGCATCATGCGTCGTCGGATCCAAAGTGAGCGCGGACTTTGTTGAATCTTCTTGCAAAACAATTATAATTAATTACAAATATTTGACATAAAAAAGCATTAAATGATGCAGATGATTTAGTTTATTTTAAAAGCTACGAAAATATAGACAGGTTCGAATAATTACAAAGCACATATGTGACACATAGGCATGAATGCAAAAGTGTGAACTTTTATGTCTCTCGAATAAACGACCTATATATATTATATATATATAAATTTTATATTATAAATATTTATTATAAATATATAATATATATTTTAAATATCTATATATATATATATATATATATATGTATGTATATATACATTTTATTTTTACTGATTTATAATTTTTTAACAATAGTTTATGTAAAACATTGTATTTTATTTTCTCCTTACAGGAAATTTCGTTTACGAGAGATAGAGAGAAAGGAACTAAAAGAGCGTGTGATTTAATGAAAAACTTACCAGCAAAGTTGATGTTGCCGATGTTAAAGGAGGTCGGAGGCGCGTGATAACCGGGTACAGGATAATATCCGGAATACTGAAGCGGTACCCTGTCGTTTCCGTATAAACTACTGCTGTAAGCGCTATAATCTAATTTCTGAAAGAGAGAATGAAAAGTGTCACATTTGCATTTGGAGGAAATTGTGAAAATGAAATGATCACCTGGGTGGCTGATGATATATTCTGCGCGACGTTCGGGAATGTCGTCGTCCCGCTGTTGTAACTAGCGTAAGGTGCATACTGCGTCATCGAGCTTGACGACGTGTAAGAGCTTAGATACGTGCTCTGCAAGCTCGCGTTTTTCGAAACTGTCGTCGATCCGTAAGGCGGCGGGTTGTATAGACTAGACGAGATGGAAAAAGGAAAACGAACAGAAAAAGATAAGTTTTTACGCTGATGAACAATTATCTGTACGTGAATTAATTATAATACAGTCCAATGATTAAATAATGGTACTAATTTTGTTTTAAAAAGTGCTCATGTTTTATCTAATGCTGAAAATACATTCCTCGAGTAAACAAAATATCATCTTTTATCGTAAATTATTTTGTATCATTATTTAATCGGCAAATTATGTGCAAATTAAATACCTATTGTAATATTGATTGGTATCATACAGGGATCCGTAATCCGTCTTTTCCATCGAATCCGGATACTCCTGTTCCTTCTCCTCAGCATTCTCATCGATGTAGAGTTCGCCACCGGGGACGCTATCGTTTTCGGGACAGTCCTGCACCTCGTTTTTAACTTCGGTCTCTTGTATGAAAATTAACAGGTAATATAACATATAAATATTATTTTCTAAAATATTTACGCGCTTAACTTAATAATAATTGTCAATCTTTCGATTGTTTTTTCAAAAAGTAGGCAAGATTTATATAGTAAAAGTCATGAAGAAAAATGACGAACCATATGTGCACCGATGAACGATCATTAACATGAGTGATTATTAATTTTATCTCAATTTTTATTTCTGTATAAAACATACATCATCTTTTCCTGCTTATATAGAGATAACGGTGTTTAATAATATTTAATCTATCTATTTGATCTATCCAGCGAGATATCTAAATGTATATGTCATTTGATCGGTGCACGTTCACTCCACGTCATTGTAGAGATTAGAGATCTTGCTATTTACCATTGTTTACAGTGCGAGGATGCTGTACCGAGGCTTCAGTCGACGAAGACACGTTGCCAGCATTGTCTAAAACCCCTGCTGGTTTTGTCGGATCATTGTCCTCGGTTAACATATCACTCTATCTGCATGACATAAATCATCGATTCATTGTTACGTTAAAAGAGAATGAAAGAGGATGATTTACGAGTTAATGAAAGCAATAACTTAATTTGTGCTAATTTGAAAATTATTCTAATTTAAAAATTATCGAAATCTTGGCGATATATCTCGATATATCTTTGTTGCGGGAAGATTTGAAAATTCAAATATAAATATAAAAAGAAAGTCGTGGACGAGGCATAAAATCCTATGTAATATAAAATAAATATAAAATAATATTAATGTTACATATCTATTAATATTATTATATTAAATAATATAATAATAATAATATATTAAATAATATAAGTTTTCTATTATTTTTAACTTAATGATTATTACATATAACAAATGATTGCACTTTAACGTGATTCTACAGGTGAAAGAAGATTGCACCTGCGAGATCGCAGGAGTTCGCTCGCGTGTGAACTTCATTATTGTCTGCCAATTGCGTGTCGAAGAGGAGTGACTGGTTGGGTAGGCGTTCACCATGAGGCACCTAAAGCAGCCAATGGAACCTCTCACGATGCTTTACATTATGTATTCTTTATGTTGCCAAGTCACTATCTATCTGCACTCCGCCCTGTTATGCGTGTATATGTATATAACATACATATATCGCGCTATGGAAAGTACCTTCTACGCGAAAGCACCAAGGTGTAACTATGCAGACGTAATTTAAGGACAGTTTTTTTCTTAAATGAGAGTATAAGTGCATCTCATATAGCTTTGTTACATTTTTTCAATATTTAAAATTGAATAAGATCCTCGATAAGAAATTTTATACACAAATGATAGTTGAACATTCTTATAGGATACCTATATATAAATATTAACTTAGTTTTTTTGCCGCTATAGTTTTCTAAGATTTGTAATTTTATCTCGAGCGAAGAATTTTGATACTCTCATCAATGAATAGTTTTCTAGATTTTTATACGTACATGTACACAATGCGCAAACTTATTCTGCAGCGTTGCGAATATCTTCTCTCACCTGCGGAATCGCGTTAAAATTTGTGTGCAATCATTTGAGATATTATTAAATTTGAAAAAAAAAACAAAAAATATTTAATATAATATCCAATTTACTTAATAGGATGTGTTATTTGGTTAAATAATTTAGTGATTATAAAGTTGATTTATTAATAATATAATTAAATAAAAGAATGCACGACATCTCGGATCTAGATGAAAAATCGCGTCTTTTGTGCAACGATCTCACGTTTTCGACAATTCTGTAACGACTGATTCTACCGTTAAAAGTATAAAAGTTTATCTCACCTAGCAAAGGTCACACAAATATAATGAACATTACTGACTCAACAATTACAAAACGATTCAAAATAAAGATAACATATATTAAATTAAGTAAATTAAAGAAACAAAAATAAGAACATGGTACACTTATATTTCTTATTAATCAAGGTGAACAAGGTTTATAGTAATTGCTAAAATAACGCGTGTAACAGTGCATGCGCAGTTAAAGAGAATAAGATTTTCTTTTTTATCTGTTACGTTTGAATATTAATTCTAAATTATAATTTTTCAGGTTGATATTTTTCTCTACGAGATCGCCTGCGGATTAATCGAGGGACTTATTATCGTTACGTCACGGATACGAAATTGTCACCCTGTATATCATTATTGCTCATCTCGCCGTATAAGCAGAGAGAGAGATGAAAGGCACTCCGCTTATCTAAACAAAAGGCCGTGCCGAAGTGTTTATCGCGGGTGAGTTGCTTAGCTTGCTGTCTGGCTTGGCTGCTTGTCTGTCCATCAAGCGTCAGGGAAATGCAACGAAACGAGAGGAATGCCGGCTCGGTCTCTCTCGCCCGCAGGACTCTTCAGACTCGGGTCGGCTTACGTCGTCGACCGTAAGAAAGAAAAGGAAAAGCAAAGCGCTAAGGATGGCTACAGTTCGTTGAGACAAAAGCTTTTTGTCCGGGAGCCTACCTAGCCGCGTGTCAGAAGGAAGAAACGAAAAGTCTTTAGGAAGGGTGCGCCTCTTGAAAATATTGTTTTTCCGCCCCGGGGTTCCTATTTACTCCTACTTATAGTAGCTTCTGAATTTATTATTGCCTTAGCAAAATATGTTAACCATTAAGTCCTATAATAGATCTTTTCATAAGATACTTCACTTCATTACTTAATTTAAAAAAATGTATTACTTTTTTTTCAAATTTTCCAAGTTCTCTTTGACAACAGATTCGTGTCATTGTTCAAATTACTATAATATTCTGATTTTAATTTTAATTTATTACTGCTAATTTTTTCATGAAATTTTATAATATAATTGATACCATGAAATAGATTTTTTTAAACATTAATTTTATTCATACTTTCATTATCTATTTTTAATTCGATTTTATTTTCTTAATCTTAATCTTTGCTTAAGTAATCTTAAATTATTTTTCGAAGATCTGGATTGAATCTTTCTAACAATAATAAGTCATTTCATTTTTTTTATTTCAGTTTTCACAATCTCTGTCTATGAAGTAAACACGCTTGCAAGGATTAATACTGGAACGACAATTTATTGTATCAGCGTTACGTATTTAGAAGAGGAACTATCAGCCTTTTTGGAGGGAATGTATTGTTTGATACTACGCAACGACCAATTAAAATACATTACTGTCCTAACGAGCCGAATGAGATGCATAAGTTACGCATGCTCAATTGATAATGACGTTTCCGCGTGTGTGCGAACAGCGACTCTTGCGTCTCTAATACAGTTCCTCGGAAAAACTTTACACTCGGAAAACTTTATCACGCGCCAAGATAAACTGGTATTTAATTCTCAATATTAATTTCTCACCATTCTTATCAAATATGGAGAAGAAAAATGTGCAATTCTAGAAGAATTTTAAATTAAAATTAAATTAAATTTAAATTTAATTAAATTTTAATTAAGCAGATCAAGTTAATGAAAGTATTCAATAAAATTTATTCGATAGAATATGTTATTCTTGAATTTTTCGATATAAATTATATAATAGTTTTGAAATAGTTTATATTTTCTATTAATACGAAAGGTATTTTTTCAGAATATAATCTAGAAACACGGCGATATAGTTGAGAATTTATCTAAACAAGTCGATCTTGTTCTATTTCTCTCTCGCAAGATTTTGGATATGCCAGAGATCAAAAATTAATAAAAGTGATGATTGGAAAATTGAAACTTATATCTGACTAAAAGGTGAGATTATTATCATATAATCATTTGAAAACAAAGCAATCCGTATTTTTATTTTCTTCACTAACTCTATTTTTTTTATTAGGAACCTCACGTAAAAGATCTACTCTTGCGTCGTTAAAGGAAAACTACGCCAAGTAAACAACATAATTCAGGAAAGAGAGAGAAAGAAAACCTCTCTTCACGACAAGTCTAATTGAGTAAAATTGAGCGAACCTTACGTCTCGTTACTCCAGATTCGAGATAGGATATCCACTGATGCACGTTCAAGGAAGCCTTCGGCGATTCTCTCCCGACAACAGCATCGTTATATCCCGGAGATGAAACGTAAACGTAACGCGCGTATGTGCGTACGTGTGTGTCTACGTGCGCGTAAACGCGTATCCGGATACGCGCATAATAATTATAATTCCGATTCACTTTTCTCGCACTTTTCGCGACCACGGGAACATCGTGTCGTAGCTCGTCTACGATCCTCCCTGCCCGTTTTACGTTTCTCGCGCACCGCCCGGCATACACGCGCGCACATGCACGCAGAAGGAGGCACCGTCTCTCGTCGAAATCACAGATAATATCCAGGTCCGATCGAACACACAGATCGGATGTTCGCGAGAGAGCGGAGACTGGAATCGCTGAAAGCAGCAGGATCTCTCCCGCCGCAGGATCACCCTGGATTCCGCCCGAGGGTTGCACCCCACCAAAGAATCCACTTGCGATCGCGAGGATCGAGAGCAACTTTTCCCGTTTACGAGTATTTTCCCAGAACAGAGCTCTTTCGCAGGAGGATCGCAGAGATCCCGATCCTTTATTATTCTCGCGACGGACTCGCTACCATTGTTTCCCGGCGCGCAGAGTACGCGTTCGAGAGGTATGCGTATATATGCTGTGCCGTGTGTGTGCGATACGCCGCGGCCTGTGGAGTTCTGAGCATGCGAAATGTCGCCTGCCACCCCCGCCCGATGGTCACGTGGTCGTCCGCTCGTTCGGCTCTTCTCCGTCGCACCCGCACCTTTCCTGCCCATCCTCTGCGTTCGTCCCTGTCATCTTGTTCTTTCATCTCTCTTTGTTCCGTGCTCTCACAGTCTACCTTTCGTCCTTTAATATCTTTCTTCACTTTTCTGTTCTCTTCTCTCTCTATCTTTCCTCTTTCTTCTCTCTTCTATTTTTGTTTTCTCCAAATTGCTCCATGAATGTTCCATGAGTGTTTCAGATGCATCATATGTTCATCCTAAAGAAATTTCATCCAGGATCATATATTGCATTTTTTCTTTCTTCATCTCTTTCTCTCTCTTTTGCTTATTCGTTGTTCTCTTCTCTTTCATATCTTTCACATGTGCTTTTTTTATGTTCTACATATTATGTACAACTATTATGCTAGATAATACATCAATTTTTTGTGTTTCAGGATCAAGATATCGTAATAAAAAGCTTTGGTTCTTTCCCTATCTCTCTCTGTATTCTTCATCTTGCTCTCACAGACGGACGCACACAGATCGCTCATTAATTAGAGCCGCGCGCATGGTAGGCGATGGCGCGAGAGATAAAGGAGGAAAGAGAAACGAAGAGGACAGAGATAGAGATAAGAAAGGAGAGAAAGAAAGAGAAGTCCTGAATTAACGGAAGAGAAAGATGGTCCTACGTTCCCCCTACATAATTGTCACCTTCTGTCACCGTTTATTTGTACAAATCGCTCGGCAATGACGTTCCTCTCTTGCGCGGGACAGGTTTTCCAGAAAGAACAGCGATTAAAAGGATCTATATAGGCGATCTTAGATAAGAGTCGTAGAATACGTGTTTTAGAACCTTACGAATTAGTATTGTAGGATAAAAGAAAGAGAAGAAGCGTCACGCGCGTTTCTACATTGAAAATGTATTTATATGTAGTTTTACATATAAAATACTTTTGCATACTTCGATTTAATCTTACATATTTTTATTAATTTTTTTCGTGCTAGACATCAGAACTGCTATCAATCAATTGTCCGATTTTGACAATAAATTAGCATCGAGCAAAAAATAATAATACAATGCTTATTACAAGTCGGAAAAATGATTGTTTCAACCGAATAGAGATTTCAGAAAACAAAATTTATGAATTCAAATTCATCGATATATTCCTTTTTTTTTGCATATTTGCGAATCGTGACGCGACTCTCTTTCTCGGTCTTTCTGCCTTTTTTTTTTGGTCGTGAGAAAAGAGTAGGGAAGATAAAGAATTCTTGACGGGAGGTCCACGCCACCGAGGCAATACGTCATACTCGATAGGTTCCTGGAAGAGGCGAGAATGTTCCCGCGTCCTTTTTTTCCTCGCTTTATCGATTACGGCGCGATAAAAGCGCCGCGAGAGATGTCCGCTTCCTCTGTCACTGTGTGACAAAACAAATTGAGGCCCGTGTTGTGAGTGAAATAACGGAGGGCGAGCAACGATCGCTCGAAACATCATTCGCAACCCTTAAAATTAAAAAAGAATTACATTTGTCATGCTGAAAATAGATTAAAATAAATTGACAGAAACTTGCACATCTTTAATCACAGATCGCTTTCAAAATATTTGACTGTTTATTTTTTTCTTTTATTTTATGATTATTATATAAATAAGCTTGTAAAATTTAATGAAGAAATTGCTTGTAATCATAATTTTCAACATTCTATTGTTAAAGAAGTTATGAATAAGAAAAAATTGGAAAAAGAACTAGAATTTTTAACATTTTAGTTAAACATTCGTGACTTCTATTTTTATTCTATTCTAATTTTTTCTTAATGTATTTCTTTTAAAAAACTTGTTCTTTCCAAAATAAACTTTATTTCATTAATGTTTCAGACTTGAAACCTCTTTACGGCTAATGTAGCTGTAACATCGAGGGTGAGTCTGCATTTTTCAAGGACGATATGACGAAAATGAAGAATAACACGGGCGGCAATATAATTTTCTACATCCTATACCAACATCCATTGTATGTTTTCCACCAACTTGATGGACTCTCAAATTTCGTTAAAAGTCTCTTGCTAACGTTACCATAAAAGCATCTCAAGAAACTTTCCCGTTTTAAGCTCTATTCTACGGTACGCTTTTTGTTCGCAATTGTTTCGAAGCTTTCTTATGCGATCAATAATATTTGATTGTTATATATATATATATATATATATATATAGAATGTACATAATAATAAACAATATCTCGTAGTTGTGAAATATAATTCTTAATCGATATTAATTTTCAGGAAAATCGTGTTCACTAAAACTAGACGATAGAATAGCGAATGAATGTATATGTTCTCGGGGAATATATGGCGATCGACATCTTGATCAGGGCTTTGTGACGAATGACAAAGGAGAATAATGCTTTTACATAACGGTGAGTAAGCATGCGAGGGTCGGATAAGTACGGCTAATCCAACCCTCCGGTTTGTATTTTCACAGTACATCAAACACAGAAGGATCTCTTCGCATTTCTGAGAAAGATTGACTATCATGCATGTTCATCTCTTTATTGAAATCGACCGATCATCGATCTTATATTACGCAATACGTACTGTCCATTTACTTCAAATGGATACAAATGCGATATTGCGTAAGTAAAATTGTCGTTCAGAAATAAGCTACCTTAAAGAGATGTATGCTTCATTTTTATATGTACAATAAAATATTTGTCTGTATATAAAGAATGTCACATGAGGATTTGAATATTTCTTAACAATAGATTTTTTAGCCAATTTGTTTCCCTTAATAAAAATGTTGAGGAAAGTCATCATATTTTTTATATTATATATATTCTTGTAATTAAATTTTAAATTAAAATTCTAAGTAAGACCCGAGATTAATTAAAAAAATATATAGTTTTGTTAATCTTTCAACTTCCACAAGTTTTGCGAAAAGTTATAACTTATTATAAATTGTAACGATGCCTGGATATTTTCGCTAAGGAAAAAGATAAATTCTTGAAATTATATAAAATCTTTAGAAAAAAGAACATTCTGTGATTTTAGAATATAAAAAATAAACGTATTGCCAAAAAATTAAAGTAGAGAATTAGCGTAAAATTTTTTTTGCTATATTTATTCAATGCTATTATAGAATTATATATAAGATCTTTTATCGTATAAGGATATGTTTGTAATTTTTTTCTTTTATTTTAGGGAAAATGGATTAAATGCACGCTGGAATTCTCATGACAAAAAGTTTCTTCGTTCTATTATCTATAGAATTCAACACTTTCCACGTACGAATGAAATTCTCAATCTTCTTCCCGAGGGAGCTCGCAACTCTCGCATCGTGCTACTACTCTTCGAGATAAGTGCGATACACCAGCTTCGTGAAAGAAATATCGATTCTAACGTGTGACGGACATTATTGCGTTCCCAAGAGTTCGCCTATCGCAGAGACAGCGGATAATAAAAGAAGACGCGCCGGAAAGATAGACATGGCGTCGACATTATTCTGCAGTGGGTCGCAGCCGCTGAAGAAATGGCGGAATAATGGTTTTGACGATATCCTTTAATAAGGGAATTTTTTGCAAGTTGCAAAAAAATGCATATATACACATGTATATTTTTTCTCTGAAGTTACTCTATGAAAATATGGTCCTTATTTTCAAGATATATTAATATACATAGTAGGCGTATATATGTGACGACCACCCAGGTGTATGTATACCTCATTGTGTGCTCCAGGAAAAATGCAGGGACATAGAGACGTATACGGTGTCGTCGTGGGATCTGCGAAGTAGGCCCTGAGGTATGCGTTTTATTGTTGATGCCGGGATAACATTATTAATCCTTAGACTATCGAGATCACTATTTAATAAGTTTTATTTCTCTTATTTTAACAAATAATTTTCTCATTGAAAAATATATCTTCTCTTTTCTTTCAATTTTATTTTATTTTTATGATTTACATTCTTTTGAAAAAGAAAGCTTAACGAATAATACAATATAAATACAAATTAATGAAAAAGTTAATTTGATGATCCATTGTCAGATATTAAAATTCCATATGAAAATTGGATGATTAATCTTTCGTGTTAATGTAATCAGTATTACGCAATATATCAATATATGTTATCTTGAGAGAATTTTATGAAAATACCTAAAACTACGGTTTATCGATCATAATCATTCATTATTTCGAGTGTGTTTGTTGTAGACCTACACGGCGGATTGTTATGAATCATGTCAAGTTTACCTTTAGACGAAAGAATTGCAAAGGGTTAATGGATATACAATCAATACACTCATCGTCAATGAGGATCCGAAAAAAATTAACGAGTTGGCGTACAAGTAAAGCCAGCAATCTTAAAAATATTGATTGAAGGCGAATCATCAAGTTCCATAGGAAATTCCAATTCCACTAGGACTAGCAGATATGCAAAAGGCGATTTTTTTTCGCAAAATAACATCGCATCAACGCATAAGCGAAACACGTGACATACTTAAAGTACGGTCCTGCAAAAATGGACACACACACATATGTTAGAGGACCTGCGAGAGTTTCGGGCCGGAGCTAAGTAAGCGCGAGAGATATATCCCCGTTTTGCACGAGGATGTGTGTGTTAGGAAATGGATATATGTATGCAACGAGGAAATATCTCTGTCTATGTGAGTAGGTAGATAGGTATGTACGAATGTGCGTTCTCCCTTCTCGTTATACAGGGTGTTTCGCTATTATACAAAGACAAAACGTATATATGATACCCGGTTAAAAGAAAAAAGAAAAGGACTTTGTAAAAACTGATCCTCCTGCAACGAGGCTGTTGAAAAAAAACTTTGTTCATAATCGATGAAGTCAATTATATTTTTTTTGTTCGCATCTTATGTGCCAAATATGGTTTAAATAAGTTACACATATGTGTTTATTGTTATCGATACTTTATATTTGTTAGATAAGGATGTAGATGAGGATAAATTCTTCTTTTCCGAAATCTCTAATTTACTATTATTTATATTGATATTAAATTTTTTCAGAATATGCGCGCAGTTGAGCCGCATTCTCGGCCGGAGATCCTCAAATTCCGCGGCGATGACGAACGAATGATTTTCGGCAAGGACACCCTGTGTGCATGCAACGCAGGCGCAGGCAGCTGTCACCTTACACCCATGGTAGAGGAGGAGAAGGAGGAGGAAGCATGGGGCTGCGGCGGCCATTCTCAACTTATCTCTAGGATCTTTGTAAACATGTCGTGAAATCCGAGTATTCCGACAGTGGCGTAGATCACGGGGTGGAAAGGATCTATCGAGAGGCGGGGAATTAAATTAAAATCGAAAATTGACAGAGCCGCGGTGTAATTTCGAGCCCTAATTAAAAGCGCGCCGAGATCTCAACTCTATCCTTATTTGTATGGAGACTCGATTTTTTTTCTAGAGCGACGTGGAAAATTTCAACTCCACTGCCAATATGTTTGCGTAATTTTTCATGTCCGAAAATGAGGATCCTCGCATGAATGCGGCATCGCGACGCCGCTATCCATGTGGTTCCCTTGACAACCAGGATCGCTAGTGGCAACGTCACTAAATGGAAAGCGCATCTTTGTTCCGTGCTAATAAAAAGGACGCGTCTGTAGACACCTAATGATCCTAACGATCCTAGTTTAGAATATGCGCCTAACAATGTTCAAAAATTACATAGTTGAGAATTGGAATGTCACATATACTTGGAATTGTGCTGACTATTCATAAATGAGATTTAAAAAATCCCTTAAACATCGTTGTGAGATTGAAAGCCACCGGCTTTTACGTATTAATCATTATAAATGTAAATGAGAAACAAAGCTATTAATTTAATTGAAAATAGACTTTCTAATGTAACACATTATCAACTTCTTGAAAACGTTAGAAAATGATTATTTAATTAAATCTTTACTAGTAATAAATGTTGAAGTTGATTAAAAAATTTGTAGATAAAATTTCGTATAATTTTTCAACACATTCTCTGTGTGTATATCAAAGTTAAATCTCTTTTTTTTATTCACGCTAGAATTAGTAAATAGACGAATTAAAATCGAATATGCATCAGGGAAGACTTGCTCATTTTTAACTATAAACTTTAATATTTTATTTTCGAAATTGTTTCAAAATTTTGAAATTCCTTATTTCAATATCTTATCCCATCTTACATAAATTTTAACTTGGACGAAAATTATATAGGATATATTTAGGTAGAGGTGTAAATCAAAGATTTCATAATTATAATTAAAAAAAAGATTAAAAATAAATACTATTATATATATCTGTATCTGTATATATAAAAAGATTACAAAATAACTACATATATATACATGTCTTTATAATCTCATTTGCACTAGTTCTATATTTTTTTATAAAATAGATCTTGTATATAAATATTTTAAATGTGAGGCACAATGCTTGTATAATTAAGCAATGCCCTTATCGCTACAATGCTATATAAACATATAAATGATATAATTAAACAATGATATATAAACATGCAAATGATATAATTAAATATCATAAGTATACAAAAAGAAATTTAGTAAATAAAAGCGCACGTTTGTAATAAGTGCATACATGACGATCAATTGATTAATAAATGCATAGTTATTTTAAAATGACATACAATTTTAAGATAACTAGTATTGAATTTAATCTGTGAAAAAATTAATAATATATGTGGACACGCTATTACGCGACATTTCGAAACTATTGTAAAGATTCTGAGTTTCAGGACTCGCCAGACAACAACCGCAGCAACGTGAAACATAATACAAGTTGCACCAGCCAGTCCTAAGCTCAGCCATGCGAAGCGAGCAGCCAGCAGCTAAAAAACGCGACGTACGAATCAGATTACATCTTGCGTTGGCTGCTTATCTATTCTTCACCTTACATCGCCTCGATTCACCTCATTTCGCTTCAGTGACTAACCCTTCGATCAGCGTCTTATAACATAACGTCTGTATGCACGCGATCATATGAACAAAAATTCTTAAATCCTCAAATATCGAAAATTTTTGGATAATTAAAATAATTTTAGGATAATTAGATTAATTACGAAAGATAAGAAATAAATAATAGTATATAATTTTCTATAAAATTATATTAGGAAAATTAGAGTACATGAGATTGAAGATACAGCATGAAAAGTGAAAAGGCCTTGTGCAAATAAAAATTTAGTTGTTTCAAATGCTTTGCATATTTCATCACAACAAACACTTATTCTAAATTAATTGTTGAATAATTATAATTACCAGACGATTCATTCAATTTCTGTGACATTATTTTGTGTTGCTTTAAAAATAATAAAAAAAGGTATGTGTGTGTGTATTTTAAACATTAATTGTCTGATAATTCTAATTACACAACAATATTTTCGTCATCCACACTTCTTCGCCTTATATTATATGGCTTATAATATATAGCTAAAATATTAATATTATTCAGTATCTGCGGTGGCAGTTTGTAAGAAAACTGGAGCTTGAGCACCTTGCGCAACTTGTATCAATTGTGGTTGAGTTTGAATAGGAGCAGTTTGAATTATTATAGGTTGATTACTTCCACCTTGTACTTGCATACGAATCATCTGCAGTTGCTGAGGAGTCAACTGAATCTATTTAAAAAAAAAAAATAATGAAAAATGCAGAACATGTAAAAATTAAATTAGGTAAATATTTTATGAAAAATTTCTTTTATATTTACAGGTATTTGTTGAATTTCACCACTAGGAGTGACAATTTGCTGCACGATTTGTATTCCACCAGTCTGAGTGGTGGGTGTTTGCTGTGCTTGTTGCAATTGTATAATTTGTTGACCAGATGTTTGTTGCGGATTTTGAACCGTAACCGTTTGGGTTGTATTCGTATTATTGGTCTCCTAAAATTGATAAAATATTTATAAATACATATTGAAATATGTGAAATTTGTCCAAATTAGTTTAAAAAAAAATGTATACCTGCTCTACCGGACTGCCAATATTGATAGTCTGAATTTGTCCACTGGAAGGTTGAACAATCTGTATAGGTTGCGTAGTATTGCCACTGCTTTGTACACCTTGATTCGCCGAAGCTTGTTGCTGCGCCAATTGAAAATAGTAATGAACCTGATCAGAGTTCATTGATGTACGTACAGTGGCTTCATTCTGTGCTTTGCTTTGTTTGATTTCATCTCTAGGTACTATATCTATGAGAAAATCAAATTGATCATATTTTGTAACTGCCATTGCAATATCGTTCCTTTGAAGAGTTCTTCTCTTATTATCCTCTGTATGCACCCAAGCTCTGAGAGTCAGTTCATGTATAAAAATCTCTGCTGCTTTGGCAAAAAGCATGGGAGCTTCTGCACTTATCATCTTCACATCACCATCCAATTTCATAATCTTCTTTATCCTTGCCAATGGTAAAGATTGTGTTTTAAGATCCATCTAAAAATGTTCATTTAAAAAAAAAATTAAGAGAACTGTACTTCATTAGATTATTAGTTTTACTAACTGTCGTAATATTTTTTATTTCTTCCATAACTTTTGGCCAGAAGTGAGCCAATGCTTGTTGGGCCTCGGAATTGCCCGGTGATGCAATTTGCAGGTCTCCATTTGAATCACCCTCTACTTCACTATCTTGATTTCTAAAAATGTATAACAATATATAAGTTTGTGTAATTTTGTCTTCTTGGCTCTATTGTTCCAAAGACAAATTTAGGAAATTAAAATTGTTTATCCATAGGATATATTTTTTTTTTTTTGTACATATATTTATTATATTTTACTAATATAAATATATATATATATATGTATACCAAATATAATAACATCTAACCTAAAAAACCAGTTAGTATGTTTACTTACGCATTTAAGAAAAATACAGACATTTTTGCAGCTGTCACTTAATTGCATATAAAGGTAAAATTCCTTTAATTATGAAAACTTCATCATTGCAGAAAATTTAGCAATCATTCAAATTATATTTTTATTAAAACTGTTGCACCTCCTATAAATAGTTCATTAAAAGAAAGAACAATCAACTGAATTATGATCCTCCTTTATGTCACCTGTCACTTGGGTTAATAATTATACATGTTTACACAAGAGTAAAAATGATTACGATTTTGCAATTGTTGTACCATATTATTATATTCGCCTATATTTGTCTCTGCAAAGAATAGATATACGATCAAGTGGTATCAAATGGAGGGATTTTTTCGCGCATGCGTAAAAGCATAAAGTCCCTCCTCTCTTTTAAAAAACGAATTCTCTTTCAGAGAATTACAAATTCTATCTCATCATGTGTGTGTGTAACATTAATAATTATTCATATATACATTATTATATGTTAATATAAAAAAAAGATGTTAAAAATAAAAATCTACATCTCAATTACAGAAATTTCTTACGACTTACAATGTACCCAAGCATGAAGAACCAGTCACGTGGCGGAGCATGTACTTGCGATTTATCATTATTTCTGCACTTGAAACGAATTGAATACATCAAATTCTTCCTTTGATTTAACACTTGGTTCTTTTGAATTGATATTTAATAGATAAAAGTTTCACTTGCAACTAAAAACAGATCGATCACTCAAAAATTGGATCCGAGCAAGACATATGCGGTAACACGTTCAAACACGAATAGGTCCGTTCCACGGACAACAAACAACAACGGACTCGAGACATAAAAATTGGACGTTGCAAAGAGAGAGAAAAGCGAAAAATTCGCTCAATGCAAAAGTATAGACAACAGAAACGGGGAATAGAAATACATCCACCAATAGGACCAGAGGATCATATTTAAGCCCTGCTTCTATTGGTGAATATATTTCTATTCCTGTTTCTGTTGTGCATAGAAGTAGAATTTCCGAACACACTCCAAAGTAGATTTACCACGTGCATCGCATGCCTACATTTGTTGTGTCATACAGATTTCAAGTTTTCGTGATGTTTAATATTTAGTCTGATTAGATTTTAATCAACGAAAGAATCACTTTTTCTCTCAAGATGAAGACTAAACCGACTCGTCACAAGGAAACGAATACTTTTCAGGTATTGAAATTGATGAAAGGAAAACTATTAGGTTGTCGGAAAAGTCGTGATGTATTATACAATAATTAACTATATATAAGTAAAAAACCTTTGAAAAACAGAAAAAATACGTCATGACTTTTCCGACAATCAATAACTTACATATTCATTGTTTCTTTCTACTAAACCGACCTTTTGTTTTTGCACAGTTCAAACCGTTCTCTGAAAGAGTGACGGAAATCGATGTCGATGTCTTTCATCGCGTAGTGCATCGGTATGAAGATAATGACGAGGAAGTAGAGACTTATTTTCACCAAACGCTACAGAAATGGAATGTCCTCAACTTAACGGAGGGCTATGTCACTTTTAAGAAGCAAATGAGGAACATTGTTACATTGCCTCAATTGATTCACAAGAAGCAATATGTCATCGACACGCTTATGGAGTATTTGAAGAAGCGAGATCCCTGGTGTCTGCAGCCTATTCTAGAGTAAATATAGAAAACTGCATAGATATATTCATATATTATATCTTATATTTTTACATTTGTACGATTTGTTTCTTATAGATTAGTAGTAGCTGTAGCGAGGGATCTTCAAAAGGATTTTTACGAATACTTTCCAACATTCTTATCTGAAATGATCAATTTATTACAAACAAAAGATACAGAGCAGATAGAATATACATTTACCACTCTGGCATATCTATTTAAATTTTTATGGCGATATTTAATAAGAAACGTAAGAACTGTGGTCAATCTACTGTTGCCATTATTGTCTGACACACAACCGGTCTATATAAACAGGTTTGCCGCCGAAAGTTTTGCATTTGTAGTTCGTAAGATTAAAGATAAAGAGTCCTTTCTAAAATTAGTACTGCATATTTTGGAAGATAATGCAAATGGAGTATCAGGTTGCGGAAAATTATTATTTGAAGTTGTCTTTGGCATCACGGGACAATTTCACTCTTGCGGAGAACAAATGTTACTGATTTATTTTAATGCTTTGCAAGATCAGTCTATGAATCAGAGTCTTACTTATGAAATATTGAAAGAGATCATAAATTGCATCCTGCAAAATATACATCCTCAAAAATGTGGTATTATGTGGAACGTTATATTAAAAGTAATAGATATGTTTAGCGAACAATCGAAGCAATCGTTGAAATCTTCCGAAAGAGAAGACGCGTTAGTTTTATTTCTACGTCTTATACATATAATTATTAGTTATAAAAATGGAAAGTTTTTAATCGATACTATATCTCTGATAAAAAAATTAATTGTTATAATGGACACATTAAATGAAGATAATATTTTGCAAGAGGTGATTAATGTGTCTGTTGCTATTCTCTTGGCATCCAATGTCAAATTAATGCAAGAAAATTCGAGTCAACTGTTGTTGAAAATTATGGCGGTGAACAATACAAAATTATTGTACTTTGCTGTTGAAAAGTTGATGCACTATTCTTCATTTGAAACCTTAGTCTTACCTCATGCATTACGTCGAATTATCTCTATTGGATTTGACAGTGAAACGTTGCTTCTCTTTGCCAAAATAATTCTTGTCAAAGCATCACCTTGCCTTAATGGTATAAGTTTGAACAAATGGAAGAAATATATATTAGACATACGAAATATCAGAGTTGAAAACATCGATTATTTCTCGTCGGAATTGAGGACATTATCTACTGATTCTGTTTCGTTCGATGCAATGAGGATATTGATAATTTTACCGCACCTAAAACCATTGCACGAAGAATTTAAAACTGCATTAAAAACTGGATTGTTATTTACGTATCAAAAAATGCTGGAATACGATAAAAGTATAGAAGATGCTGCAAGCCTCAATAGAACTAGTTTTATATTTTTATTAATGCTAGAATCGATAATACATATATTAGAGCCGAGTGAGCTTCACGAGTTTTTTGTAAAATCCAACATAACAATAGCTGATCTTATTAACAAATATCACGATAACAAGTACATCATAAACGCGATAGATCTCTGCTTGACATATTTCGTTGCCTCAGAGTATCACTCCAACTATATCAATTCCGCAGTTTTCGATACATTAAATAACAATATAGTGAAGAGGCTGAGTTCGCCTTACAGTAATACTCGATTGATCGTAGCACACTTATATTCTTTATTTGGTAACGTTGATGATCTGAGAGGGCCTTTGATAACGCAGGATGATGGCAACACAGGCAAAACTGCCATGGAACTTGTCTATTTGGTAGAATGTGAATCCGCAACAGTACAAAACTATCGTGCCAAATTATTGCATTTGCAAGCTTTAGGATTTCAGAATCAGGCGATAACTAATTTAAATTCAAGATATTACGAATTCCCATTGCGTTGCCTGATCGCTAATCTATATGTCAATTTCTCTCTGCTCTGGCAACCTGTAAGTATAGTCCTAGCTAGTTACGGCAACAAAGAATGTCCACAGTTCTGGCCGACGTTTCTGGCCGAATTAACGTCCAACAGTGTGCCAGAAGTTGAATCGAGATCGTTGTTCGATTGCGACGTCATCTCCTCGTTGGAGATCCAGATAGAGAAGCGCAACGACAAGCCCGACTTCGAAAATTACAAGATACTCCTCTGGAAATGTATGACGCACTTCTCCCATTACGCCGAGACGAAGAATAGAGATTTAACTGGATTGTTTATCGATTTTATAAATACAAATTTCTTTAAATCTAACTCCGAAGATGGCAAGTATTGCAATATCAAGAAGCGCAAGTGCGGAATCGACATAAATAATGACATGAATGATAATGAAGAAGAAGAAGAAGAAGAAGAAGAAGAGGAAGAACGGATTGAAATTATAAAGACTACTCAAGTGGATGCGAAGAGTAGAAATTACAAGGTGAAACATCTACTTGCTCAGATGGAGATATTTGAAAAAGTGTCAAATCCAAAGATGTTGCACAGAGAATCAGAGATGCGTCAGATTTACTTGGACCTACTCTGTTCGAAAAATGCCGACATACAGAAAGCCGCCTTAAATTGTCTCTTTGCTTATAAGCACGAGTATCTTTTGCCATACAAGGAATCGTTATACGGTTTGATAAACGAGAAGAATCTGAAGAACGAGCTCGCGCGTTTTAAACTGGATCGAGAGAGTGATGTAATAAAGGAGATGCATCGTGAGAATCTCATACCGATTATAATGAGAATTATCTATGCGAAAATGCTTATGAAGACCGGTATAAGAACCGGCGGGAAGGCCGGCGGATTTACACGGCGGAAAATGGTACTGCGTTTCCTAGGTGGCACCCAGGAGGACGAGATGATTGTATTCGTCAAAATGGCCTTTCGACCCTTCAAAGCGTACGTGTCGCTGGAAGTGGAAGAAGACGAGGCGTTCGATTTGAAGCGATACACCGAGAACATCGTCGACGCGATCGATCTGGATAACGTTATGCCACCTAAACGTATGCAAAGCGCTGTGAATCTGCTAGGGATAGTGATGGAACAGTTCGGCGGGAAGATGTCGACAAGACTGTTGCCGCGTTTGCTCAGGATATTGATCTGCATCCTGGCGGAGGTGATCGGAATTCTAAGTAGATCGGACGAGATTTATCCAGGATACCTGTCGGCGATCAAGAACGTGCGAACCAGTTGCATAGGCATCTTGGCAAGATTTTTCGTGCATTTCGAGGACTACGACTGGAAGCGACACGAGATCGACGCGGTCTACCACGTCGCGATATTTCCCCAGTTGCAGAAATTACCAGTTGAGGGTATACACAGTCCCACGGCCTTGTTGAAGCTGTTCATGGCATGGGGTCAAAATCCACGGTATCATCCATTGTTCGTGAAACATCGAGAGGACGACGAGTCGATCAGCCCTCTTCCTTACATCGTGCAACTGCTCTTGAATCCCAAAACACACCAGTCTGTCGTCAACGCTATTTTGGAAATTATTGAGAAATTACTGACGTTAAAGGATTACGGACAATCGAACGAGGATAGCATGCAAGTAGATAATCCGCCGTCCTTACCACTAATACCAATACTGACGAATCTGCTTGATAAGGAAAAGAACATACCGAACGGGATCAATTATGGCTCCTCCATCCTTCTGCCGCATATCCCTCGCATTTTGGAATTTATCAGAAATAAACTGGAGAAATCCAACAGAGGCATAAACAAGACCGAATTGCTCATATTGTCGCGAATCTCCGAATTTGTCACGGACGCTGAGACGTGCGACACAGTGTTGAAACTGATACTGCCTGTGTTAGTGAAGAAGGCTGCAATTGGCAATAACGAAGAAGCTATCGTGGAGCTTACGACGACCGTGATGAATCTCGTAAAACTTGCGAACAAGCCGGAGACTCACGTGCGTGCTATCGCACCGCTAATGGGTCTTGTATCGGACGTGTCAGCTCGCAAACTTCTTCTGCAGCTGTACGGCGCCATCGCCGAGAAGTCCTCGGAGGAGTGTCGCGAGACTATGACACGAGATCGCGATATCCTGATTGCGCTCAACGCGTGGGATCGCAGGTGGATCGATCAGCCTGACTTTCAGAGAAGACTGGACGCCTTCGACGAAATTAAAGGTTTGACTGAGAAAAACGCGATCACCCTGGAATTCGGCGTGATTGTGATACACAACTGCTTTCACTTTCTGAAGACCGAGTCGGATCTGGCGATGAGAGATTGCGCCGGTCAGTGCTTAAAACTCGTGGGATCTAGATTGGCGAAGGAACACCAGACTAATCCTTCTAACAGACGTTATCTGATGGACGACACAATTCTGGCGCTTACGAGAAAGGGGATCACGAGCAGAAACGAGACTATTCGTCTGCAATCGATAGCCTTTTTAGGACACATGGCTCTGGAATGCGCGGATGTGCATCCTATCTTGCGAGACATGTCATTATTAACTAATCCAACCGATCCCGAGGTCGATTTCTTCGAGAATATGCAGCATTTGCAGTTGCACAGACGAGCTCGTGCGTTCTTGAAGTTCTGTACACTCGCCAAGACGTTACGGAAACCGTTCAATTCTCGAACCTTGACGCAATTCATCCTTCCCCTCTGCTCTTCTTATCTATGCAACGAGGCTTTCATTAATAAAAATAGCCTCATCGACGCCGCCATCGAAACTGTCGGGGTGGTCTGCAGACTTTTACCGTGGCATCATTACGAGATCATCTTGAGACATTATTTGAATAAACTGAAGAGATCCATAGAGTTTCAGAAACAACTCATTAGAATAGTAGTAGCAATATTAGATTCGTTCCATTACGACTTCTCAAAGTATAAAGAAGTGCAAAAGATTACTTCGGCAGGAACCAAAGATGATGCCACTGTGATTAGCGAAGAGAAAACTAATGAATCGATCGGCGAGGAGAAAACTAATGAAGCGATTGATGAAGAGAAAACTAATGAAGCGATCGGTGAAGATGCGATTTTGGAGGATAAAGAAGCGGAAGAAATATTGGAGGAAGCGCTAAATGATGAAAACGTCGAGAATATTGAAGAAGTAGAAGGAGATACTGAAGCAGCGAAGGAAGATTTACTAATCGAAAGGCAGACGTTACTTTCGCAAAGCGGAGCGAAGAAAGTCATGTTCAGTATATCGCATGGTTTGTTACCCCAACTGCTTCGATCTATCACAGCTAGAACGCGACAGGACAGCAGTCATAAGCTCAACAAGAAGAAATTTGCGTCCGAAACGGAGGAAAATGATTTGATGAGAGTTCCCATCGCTCTTGCGCTTGTTAAATTATTACAGAAAATGCCCGGGGATATTTTGGACGCAAACCTTCCAGGGTAAGTTTATGATATCATGTAGCGTAATATTTATCTAATATAGGAGCAGAAAATCTCTATTTTATCTGGTTGTATAGATTTTCTGTTTTTTGTTTTAAAGATTATTTCTTTGAATTATGTGGATAATTAATTGAATAAATGAATGTTTCTATACATAGAACATTCTGATAAAGTTTGTTATTTAATTTTGATAATTTTGTATATTTTTTTAGAATTTTTATGAAACTGTGTACATTTCTTAAATCGCGCATGGAGTCAATTCGACGTACAACTCGTGAGACACTGCAAAAAATTATGATAACATTAGGACCAAAATATCTTCATCATCTTCTGAAAGAAATGAATGCATTATTAACAAGAGGTTTTCAAGTGCACGTTCTGGTATACACAATACAGTCCGTATTACTTGCACTGAAGCCATATTTTCAGAAATTCGACATTAATCATAATCTACAAAGTATTATATCTGTAAGTATTTATTTATAATTACAAGCTTAATGTAATGTGTTTATGTCTAATTTGTATATATTTCTAAAATGTTTAGTTTCGCAATATAAATTTTGTCATGTGTGTATTCTACCAATTGTAAATTCTAAAAAGATATATACATATATAATATCGTTATTTTTAATATTCAACTCTTGAATCTTCATTCTTTGCCATTATGTAATAATTTTAATATTTATATTCTTAATAAAAATTTATTTATAATTCAGAATCAGAATTTTTGTTAATATAAAAAAACTTTTAATGCTTGTAATTCTCAAAACACATTTATACTACATTTGTAAAATATATTTTTATCAATTAGTAGAACATATATAAAATTTGATCAAAAATTTTCTGTATCTTTGAGTAATTAACTAATTTTTACACAGGTATGCAAAGTCGATCTGTTTGGCTTAACTGCGGAAGAAAAGGAGATATCTGGTATCGTTAAAAATGTGTCAGAAGCAAGGAGCACTAAAAGCTTCGACATCTTCCATATATTAGCAGAGTTTATAACGGAATCTTGTTTATTGGACTTAATCATGCCGTTGAAAGAAGTGCTGTTGAAAACGCATACGTACAAAACGATAAACAAAGTTACGGAATGTCTTCGAAACGTAACTCTGGGATTGGCGGATAACTCTTACATACTACTGGAACAGATGCTCATATTTCTCTACGGCATCATCTCGGAAAGCATACCGGATCTTCTGCCGGAGAAAGACGACAAAAAGCTCGTGGAAGAGAAAACGAAATATCTCGTGCCGCAGCAATCAAACTGTTTCATCATACCACCAGCACCCAAAAACAGAATGGGTATTAAAGCCACAGCGAAAACCACCAGGCACATCAATGTTCACGTAATGATAGAATTCGGTTTGAAACTGTATCACATACTATTGAAACGAGACAAAATTTCTTCTACGGAATACAAACCCTATTTGGAACCCTTTGTATCGGTTTTGAGCGATTGTTTAAATTCTCATCACGTTAAGCTGTGTACCGTGGCCTTGCAATGCTTAAACTGGATGCTGAAGATGGACTTAACTTCGACATTGGCATCGATCTCGGGAATCTGTAAAGCCATGTTCGATATCTTACATAAATACGCTGTCGCGGGATTAAGCAAGGGAAACAACTTCGATCTCGTGATGGCGACATTCAAATGCATGTCCGTGATTGTTCGCGACGTGAAATATTTCAGCATCGACGCCGATCAGTTGAAGATCCTCATCTTATACGCGGAACAGGATCTGCACGACAGCGATAAACACGCCACTGCGTTTACATTGCTCAAGGCTATAATTCATCGAAAAATGATCGTTCCTGAAATGCATGCTGTCATGGAAAAAGTCGCTAAACTAAGCATTACCACGGAATTGGAGCACGTTAGATTGCAATCGCGTTCCTTATTCTATACGTACTTGATGGAATATCCACTTGGCAAACATTTAGACAAACACATATACTTTTATCTCAAACAATTGAGTTACGAGCTACAGCCAGGTCGATTGAGCGCATTGGAGATGATTCATACTATTGTCACAGGATTTCCGTTAAAAATTTTAATTAAAAGAGCGGAGATTATATTTCTAATGACGAGTCCAAGATTAATAGACGACGATGATCCGACCTGCCGTAAACTTTGTGCGAAATGTATAACAGAAATACTCACCCGGATATCCTACAATGAAAAGAATAAGCTATTCGACAATTGGCCCGTTCAGTGGCTAGGTAATTCCAACATAAGATACCGAACGTTGGCGGCACAATTATGCGGCATATTTGTGACTGTTGAAAAACATGAATTTGATTCACGATTACCTCAAGTTTTGCCGTTGTTATTGAAGCAGTTTCACGCAAATGTCCCCGTTTTTGGCAATGAACAGTCTGGAATATCTATGAAGTTAAACAATAAAGACCGCTTACAGAAAAATGTAAAGGATTTAGAAAGAGCGAAAGATCATCATTTAATTCAAGTTTTACATTTATTGTTGAAGATAGCACGTTACACATCATTACTCACGAATGAAAAGTACAAAGATTCCATCGATTCTTTTGCCGGTAAGAAACATTCATTATAACTAAATAAGCCTTTTTTCCAGCAAGTACACATATATTTTATTTTATTTCACAGAATATAGTCAATCTTTGTTGTCTCACCCACATATTTGGGTTCGATTATCTGCCGCACAATTTATTGGATTTATCTTGACTACTCTGGACGTTGATAAAATTGTGACGCTTTTAAATAATCCAGAAAATGACGAAGAACAAGAGGGATACATGTACTCAAATCCTATCGATACTTTAAAAAGTTTGATTTTAGACTTAATAGCGCAACTTTATCCAGATATGACATTTGAAGAATTAGCAGATCAAGTTGTGAAAAATCTAATTTTTATCGCACAAATATTAAAATCAATGAAAATATCGGATGTGCAAGGTGATAAACAGGATGATAAAAATACAGCAAAGGATAGCAATAATTTATCTCTTTTTTGGCTTATCAGAAAATTGAGAAAAGCTGTTAATGTAGAGATAACACAAGCTCCCAAATCGACATCAGTAGTAAGGATATATTTTTATTTCTCGATTATTTTCTATGTTGAAAATTTATATATACACAGAAATTATATGAATTCTACATTTTCAGAGAACTGCAGCATTCAAATTTATTGCTGGTGTAGTAACTACAATTCCCATGGAATATTTAAATGCGATACTTTTTAGTATCATGTCTCCATTGGTACGAGAGATAGCTATAACAGAAGAAACAAATGTTGAATTACGTCGACTAGCTAAAGAAGTACTTGCTATGATTAAAAAATCTATAGGAAATGAAGAATATGTTAAATTATTAAATCGAGTACAACAAAAACTTGACATTAAGAAAGCAGAGAGGAGAAAAGTTCGCACACAACAGGTAAATTCACTTATTATTTATCTTTTCATATTTGAAATAATTTTTACATGAGATATAAGAAAAATATTTAGGATCACATACAAACAAACTTAATATACATGATATTTATTACAGTTTGTAGTTAATCCTGATCTAGCAGCCAAGCGCAAATTGGCTAGACAACAAAAAAAGAAAGAATCGAAAAAAAGGAAAATAAATAATATAAAAGCAAATAAAGTAGTCAAAAAACGCAAAAAGAAAGTAGACCCAGACGAAGTGTAATATGCGTAATTTATAAAAATTACAATTTCACAATGATTAATTACTATTTGTAAATATTGTAAAATATATGTGTATAAATTATTGTAACATTTTTACAGAATATACAAAAGTATACACAATGTCAATGTGTAAAGTTTATAATTGTGTGAAGTTAAAAATAAAGACTATAAGTAAATATATATTGCGCAAAGATATATGTCATTTATATATATATGTATATATTGTGTATTTATATATATGTATATCTTTCTTTATATATAAATATAATTATAGATATTTATATAGATATATATAGATACATTTTTGAAGAAAATTTATTATAATTTTAAATAATTTGTTTATACAAAATATTTATAATACAATCGGCGAAAATAATATATAAATTTTATTTATTTATATATATAAATTTTATATAATTTTCTATATAACTTTGTTTTATTTTTCTTTTTTATTGTTTTATTTTACAATTTACATTTATTTTTTGTACCTTATATAACTATTGATACTATCGCAATAAAATAATTATGTAAATATTAATTTTACAGAAGAATTTGAGAAATTATCTTTGAAAATAAGAAAAACTTAATTTTTGAACGCATTGAACATCGTTGCGCATGCGTGAAGAATTTATTTTGGGTGCGTTCCGTTATGCACTGCAAGTACTGGCACAGATTAATAGACAGATCGCCAAAGGTCTGGATGAAGGAGAGACCAGCATTTCTCACTGATTTCAGCGCCATATCGTAGTAGTAGTCAATGCAGTAACTATTAATACGTTCCCAAGATAAGAGCGTCTCATGCTCATGAACTCGTCCGGCGGCATGTACGAGATTTATCTTTTCGTAGCGTTCGCGTATTTCGGAAAGGACAGAATTTTATGATGTTATAAATAAATAAATAAATAAAATATTAACCTGACCTATTATAATTATTTTTTAATAAATGTTTCATTATTATTATCATCTAAGTCTAAGTCGTTTAATTAATTTTTAGTTTTTTAATAATTAATTTAATTTATTCTAATCATTTTAATATGTGAAAAATACTAATACGTATACGTTTTATAATGAATTAATATATTTCGAGAGTCGAATTATATATTTTTAATAATATAAAAGTGTTCAAAAATTATATTTGACTTTTAATTTTAATTATTTTAGCAAAGAGTTCCGAAATCTCTTACACACATAATAGGGATTTTGTTCATCCATATAATTCGCAATTAAGTATATATGTTAATTATTAATTTTAATAAAATACAAAATTAAAATTAAAGGTCAAATATAATTTTTGAACATAAATATATTTAATTCGTTATAAAACGTATACCCGTGATAGTATTTTTCTCGTACAAAAATAACTAGAACAAATTAAATTACTCATAAAAAAATTAAAAAATAATTAAATAATTTATATTATATATGATAATAATAAAACATTTTATAAAAAAACAGATTCAATAAATATAAGTATATATATAACATGTACTTATATTTATTGAATCTGTTTTTTAATAAAATGTTTATAAGCTTAGAAAACTTGACTTTGACGTAACTAGCAAATTTTATTTAATTATTTCACGACGGTTTGACGTAATAAAATGTTTTATTATTATTATATAAAATATAAGTTTAAATTCTTTAATTAATTTTTAATCTTTTATGATTAATTTAATTTACTCTAATTATTTTTGTACGAGAAAAATACTATCATGGGTATACGTTTTATAATTAATTTAATATATTTGTGTTTAAAAATTATATTTGACCTTTAATTTTAATTTTTATTTTATTAAAATTAATAATTAACATATATACTTAATTGCGAATTATATGGATGAAAAAAATCCCCATTATGTGTGTAAGAGATTTCGGAACTCTTTGCTATAAAATAATTAAAATTAAAAGTCAAATATAATTTTTGAACACTTTTATATTATTAAGAATATATAATTCGGTTCCCGAAATATATTAATTCATTATAAAACGTATACGTGATATTATTTTTCTCATATAAAAATGACTAGAATAAATTAAATTAATTATTAAAAAACTAAAAAGTAATTAAACGACTTAGACTTAGATGATAATAATAATGAAACATTTTATTAAAAAAAGATTCAATAACTAGTAGGTCAGGTTATAATTTTTTATTTATTTATTTATAACATTATGAGCTATTAAGCTCATCATCTCGTTCGCTCTCTGTCTTGCTTTCATTCGGCAAGTCACAAACGATATATGATACTCGTATGTTCCTACTTCAACTCTCGAGAATCTGAAACAAACGAAACTCGTGTCCAATATACAGGGTGTCCGGTAACTAACAGACCAATGATTACAAATGGATTCTTTGGTCAATTTGGGAACGATTTTTCCTCAGCGAAAATGTCGAAAAAGGTCATCATTTTTTACAACTTTCCAATCTTTGTCATTATGTATCTTTATAACTAAGCCTTAAATTAAAATTTTATTATAGTAAACTCTACCTGAAATTAACTGAAGAATGTAATTATGTTAGACTTTTAACTCCAAAACGTTTAGTTTTCAAAAAACCTATTTTTTTCAATCGCTTATAACTCGAAAATTATTGACTTCTCAACATTTTTGCTAAGGAAAAATCGTCTCCAAATTGGCCAGAGAATCCGCCCTTAATCATTGGTCCGTTAGTTACCGGACACCTTGTATATATTATATAAAAGTGTATAGCACGTCAGAAGCTTGTGAGCTTACAGCGATAAGTAAAAACAATTGCGTATTTATTTCATTGCGTTTATCTGTTTAAACGCGCGCTTTAATTTTTCCAACGTTTTTGCCTGTTTATATTTTAAAGGTCCTCTCTTCTAAAAATCTTGTTTTAAAGATCCTCTCCGCGAGCAAAATTCGAAAACATAAATTATTTAATATTTTTACTTTATTATTTGTAAATCCTCGGTAATTTCAAAATTTTTCTATTTGAAAATTATTAATTTTCTATTGCCAATTAATTTTATCACAGACTTTACTCTTACTCCCATTGCACTTTCGTTTGCGGTTTTCAGTATACGATTTTTTATCGTAGTTACTGAAAATTATTATTGTGAATTATACTTGTGCAGTGATTTGAAGAATTTACAATTTCGTTGAAATTGTTGATTTTTCAAAAAAATTACGAGATTCGCGGAAATTGCGTGCTTTCTTGGCATTTTCCGTTCGCGGCAGGCGGTTTATTTTTGATTGTTGCAAGTGTTTTTGTTTTTTTTTATTAAAATAGATAATAATAATGTGAAATAAATCACGATATTTGACAGATGTGCATATATATAGAAATTGTAATAATAATAATATTATATCATAAAATTGTAAATTGTTTCAATTTTTTATAGACTGCGATAAAAGATTTTACATTTGGATAAGAAACTGCGGTAAGTAAAAATATAAAATTCTTGAAAACGTAAAAATATTTGATAACGTAAAAAGGTGAACTTTGAAAAATAAGGAACTTAAAAATTGCACTAATAAATGGGCTATATATATGTGAGCCGTGCGCGGATGTAAGGTGTGTTATATCGAAATTTAATTAATAGAATTGAGAATTAATCCCAATTTTAAGTCTTACAAATGTCCAAGCTAATTTTTTGTACCTCGTGTACATTTTTGAAAGTTATATCGAAAAATTAAATTTCAATATGCGTCTTACATCTCACATTTCGCATACGGCTCACATATAGCCTATTTATCTCTTATACTTTATTTCAACCCTTATAGAAATTTATTACTAGTAACGCCAATTTATCACTTATTTCGAGTAATTAATCACTTTTATTTCGAATACTTAAATTACTGTATATTATAGTATTTTAAATACTCAAAATAAGTGATTAATTGGCGTAGTGATAAATTTCTACAAGAGAATAAGGAGCCTTTAAATTCTTAATGTAAAAATTTCAAGTAATTTTCTTTAATAAAATTTAATTAAAAAATTTAATTAAAAAATTTTTGAACACTGTGTTATATCACATTTAAAATCGTGATTATTTCAATAAAAAAACATTTTATGTGTAAAAAATATATTTTTTATATTTAATAAATTTTATATATATATGCATATATGTAAAATATTCTCTCTCTCTCTCTCTCTCTCTCTCTCTCTCTCACACACACACACACACACACACACACACACACACACGGGGGCCAAATCTCTCAAATTGGTCTCATGATCAATTAGCCTGGATTCGCACCAGGGGCAAAGTCTGTTGGTAATGTCAAACGAATTTAGCCTGGACTTGCACCAGGGGCAAAGTCTTTTGGTCGAGTCTACGAAATTTAGCACGGACTCGAACCAGGGGCAAAGTCTTTTGGTTCAAGTCTACGAATTTAGCACGGACTCGAACCAGGGGCAAAGTGTGTCGGTAAGGGGCAAAGTCTATCGCACGAAGATGGCGGTCTCTTCTTTAGGCAGGCCTTTGGCGATCTGTCTATTAATCTGTGGTACTGGCACTATGACGTCATGCAAGTGTACTGTTGACAGCGTTCCTTTTTAATTTTGTGCACTTTGAAGCTACTGCAAAATAGTAAAACGGAACGCACTACAGTACGCTTTCAGCAGACTTTTAACTAACCTTTTTCGCTAATAATCATCGAGTGAAAAATTGGTGAAATGGATAATACCATTATTGCATTAATTACATATAATTTAATCGAGAATATATATGATTCGAGTGAGTCATCAAGTGAAAGCGATTTGGAAATGGAATTAATAAATGAAATGAGACGACAAATTAAAATACCTAGAATAAAATGTAAAAATTACGTTAAAAATATTGTATCATTATATTCAGATATGGAATTTAAAAGTTAGTTCCACCGTACACATGGAGGTAGCCATCTTGATTACTGCGAGTGCTTTACCTCGCCGGTTGCAGTAATCGCAACAGGAAATAACGTCAAAATTAATGACGTCATATACTCATGATAGTACTTTCGCAGTGCACTGCTATCTATATCGGAACGCTATTGATAGTACTGTCAGTACTTGCAGTGCATAACGGAACGCACCCATAACCTGAAAGAA